GAGTTTTGCTGCTTTTCATCTAATTGATGCTTTCAATCCAGTTTTCGAATTGAGCAAGGTCTGCACATTCTTCATCTTCAGCTTCTTCCTCAACTTCCTCGCCATCTTCACCTCTGACATTACCACTGCTTGCTACAGAATGGAGACCTGCAGCAATGCGAGTAAGCCGGCGTTTTTGATCCACGTTCCAACGCTCAGCCTCTACTAGCTTCTGCTTGCAGATGACAGCCATTCCAAGAACCTCGTCCGACAGATTATCAAACAGTTCTGGACCTTTGGTGGCCTCGGTGAGCTTATGAACGAGCTCTTTTCCGTATTTCAGAACCGACATGGCTTCCTCCTATAACATAGCATTTGCATTAGTACCTAGGAGCCCCCTCCCCCGAAAACCATTTCATGCTTTACATACCCTCAACATTTTTAACTCTTCTTGGGCTCTGAGGTAACCATGAAGAGCATCGTAGGGTAGGTCATCGCCCATCGTTGATAACAAATTGGCGTGCTTTCTAAATTTGCTGTTTTTTGCCAGTAAGCTGGAAACGCTGTTATCAAACGGGCTTAAACCTGTAAAACGAAATTTTTAGTTTGTGATGTGTACGCATTGCACATAGCAACCTATACTGTTTTAACTTTACCTATAACTGAATGGTTTCTAGCCACAATGTTATAGGCATCCAAGCATTTTTGAACCTTTGCCAAGGCAGACTTCTTTTGGTCGGAAAGGTTTTGCGTGCGATTATGGCCTTGAATATATATACATATATATCGTTTGTCGGGTAAGTAGTTTATGCTTATAGTTTGAACGAATGAGATGTATAACATTACCATTTCCTTGTATCTTAAATGCTTGGTCTATAATGTCATAGATAGAAACAGCTGTACGAAGTATTTCGTACGCGTTGTCGACCTTTTTTTTGATGCGCCCTGTTTCGGTCGTAGGTTCCTGAGTTGCAAGTGCTATATGCTCTTCCCATTTAGCTAGCAAGATCTCTAGTTTATCAAGATACCCTGCTTCTTGGAGGGCCTTTCTAGCATCGTCCAGCAATTGTTTGGCACGCTGCTCTTTACGCTGAATTGTGATACCTAAAATACTAATGTTAGTTGGGGCCTATACTAAGTCTTTAGGCATTATATAAAGTTCGTGTACCAATGTTGTCAATTTTTTCTTTTGCGAAAAAGTCGAGCGCAATAGTAAGGGTGAGTCGCCTGTTGAGAGACGACATAGTACGTGTGATGGATACAAAACCGTTGAGGTATGACCACATTCGCTCGAGCCACTCGCCATCGATCATGCCAAAGCCTTTTACCAAACGAGGATGGAATTGAATTTGGCAAGCAGCATTGTGTCCGGTAATATGGAAGATACCGACTGCAATGGGAACATCTTCGATGTCCTTCAACTCTGGTGTTTTCTAGAAGCTTATGTTAGGATGTGGACATCGTGCACATGAGGTAAGTTATAAGTAGTACCTTTAAAGCAGTTCGTAGCTTACAACCAACATCGTACATAATACGAATGTTGTTTCCGTACAGTTCGTTGTATGTCACTTTTTTCAAGACACTAAGAACATAGGTATAACTAAACGTACATAGAGTGAGTACTTTATACATGATGACAAAAATGAAGAACAGCAAGCTAAATACCGTTCGCCTTTGCTACGCATATCGACTATAGCAAGTGGAAAGCCGTGGCGACCACAGGTACACGCAAAAGCACCGGTTTGATCAAGACCCTTGGTCGATCCGCCTTGCTTTTCAAGCGCGCCAAAAGAGGCACAGCCATCTCTGGCCTTATACATGTAATCAATATAACTGTATTAGATACTGTTACATGACTCTCAGAATATTATCTTACCGATTCATTATAAGGAATGAGCTTTTCATCGTCAACCCAGAGCATGTTCACTTCTTCTTCATCTTTAAAGTTTATACCCTGGACATCCTTTACATGGCGAAAGCGCCGTAGCTGGAAGTTTCCGTCTAGTGCTACAGTCTTTTCGTGCTCCTACCATATATTAACCATGACAACCATTAAAATATGTATGCATACTTTTGTATATCTTCAAATCAAAAAATTAAATCACTACAGTACCACGTATCTGCAACCTGGGCAGACATCGTTCTCTACGCCAAACTCTTCCCTCAACTGCTTTTTCAAGCTTAGAAGTATTCTGCCAAATATAGGCAGCACATCGTTCAAGCGAGACTTGAGAGAGGCAGGAACCTAAAAAACAAAAGTATATTTAAAAGCTTGCTAGATGAAAGATTGCCCTAGAAAAAGTAATACCTCTTGCTCAAAATCTGCTTGTAGCCATTTTGCAATATTGTGCACGGAGACGCGGCAAATGTAATGCAAATTGTGGATTGTCTGCATCAACTTGATATGCACTGCATGGCCGGGTGCCTTTGGCGTCAGAGGAATCATATGACTGCGCATTAGCACCAAAGGCAAAGCATAGTCAGGGCACGACTTGCAGTATTCGATGTCAAACTGTCGAATACCTAGATAAGACAAGGGTGTTAAATTTTGCGAAAATATCCCAAAAACAATACTTACCGCACTTAAAGATACAGGTGACAGCCTTGTGTGCTTTTTTATCAGCAGCGCAACCACACATCTTATGGGTGGCAGGCTCGAGTGCCTCTGCGACCGGTGCTTGCTTATACCCTTCTCTATAGGCTTTGAGCAACGCAGGAAAAAGGCTAGACCAGCGTACTGCACGCTTAACAGCTGCAGTCTGACGTCTTGGCTGATCGTCAACTTCGTCCGCCTCATCATCAGTTGACCATCCGTCAGATGGAGAAGAATTGGCTGGCAGTGATGATGCTCGAATTTCGAATGGCGTGGTTATATCACTTGCAGTCGACTTATTGACCGTGCTTGTCAATCTGATAAGCTTCTTTCCTTTATCCGAGAATCGATAGGCTTTTGTTGTTTGTTTACGCTTTTGACGTATATTGAAAGACATGCTTATTTGCGCTGATAATAGGAAATGGGAACGAAGGGTTAGGCTTTTTCAGGCACACTCAGCCACTTTCTCCATGAGCGGAAAGTCATTAGCCGTACAGGCATAATTTGCGGCGCGGATTTGCGGTTTGCGGCCGTATCAAAAACACTGGGCGCCGCAAATTTTGGTTCAGTATTCTTTTCATTGCGGAACCATTGTTCCTAGGACAGCACTAATCGCTTGATATACATTAAATTTCATGGGACGCGTGATGGTGTTTCCCAATTTAGCGAAGAGAGCTTATATATGAAAACTTTGCTATATTAGATAAGACAGGAGTACTAAATAAGTGCAAGTATTTACGTGTTCTGTGCAACTCGTATCAATCAATATGATAGCCTGTTTTCAAAAGACAAACTCTTACAAATACAGATCAATTGTAGGATCAGCCAAAATTAGAGAGATTTTCGGTTTTCATGTTGTACTTCTAATCAAAACAAGAATATTTTATGTTAAATTGTAAAAGTAAAAGTACAAAAGGTCAAAGGGAGGGAAAAATATAACTAATCCTTGCGGATACCCTGCAAGGCATTCAACAAGGAATGATCAGCATCGTCCTACAGGGAATGTATGACAAAGAAACGATTGAGTAAATGATGTACCAGAGCGTATTGCAATACAATAACATAGAGGTGACATATATACGTACCATTTCCAAAGACCAAAGCATCACACCACCTAAGCCGTTTGCTTTGGCGTACTTAACTTTCTCGCGCAGCGAGTGGGGGTCATCAAAGGACAAAACTTCAGTGCCCTTGTAGGCATAAGGAGTCATGCTGGCAGAATCCCACGAGGTCTTCCAGCCGGAGGAGTTGGTAGGAATACCCTCTTCTTCAATCGAGCGCCACTGGTACATGCCAGAGTAAGTCGAGACGGCACCAGGGCATGGGTCAGCGCTCTTTTCATCATATTCGTCGCCCTGGATCTGATCGCCGTCGAGAGCAACATACATACCAGACTGGGCAGTGACGGCGCTGGCAACCTTACCGACGCGGCCATAGAAAGGAACACCCAAGTAGAGTTGTTCAGCAGGAATACCAGCTTCAGTCCATGCCTTGACGGCAGAGTCAACGCTGACAGAATCAATGCCATCCGATTGGCCGTCATAGTGCAACGGGGCGTTGGGACCTGCGTCCTCATTCCAGTTGCCGTTGATGTCATACCCCTGCAGATGAATTAAAGGTTATTAAAAGGAGGTCATTATGACAGAAAACAACAAGCCCTGCTTACCATAATGTAGAAGGCATCCATGGCTTCCTTCCATGCGGAATCCAGAGAAGTCGATGGTGTTTGGTTCTCGTCGTTGAAAGGAGTGGTGCTTACAGCAGCATTGATCTCGGTACCTTCGGGCAAAGTCTCGCGTAGTAATTGAACAAACTTCAAGTAGTTGGCGGTGTCTTGTGGATCGCTAAAAATGTCAGAAGGTTACGTATACGAGTTAGTACGAGTACACACTCAATTTACACAGGGCTTAGTTACTCACTTTTCATTGCATGCAACACCATTGGCGCTGTTAGGATACTCTAATTATCAGAATATGGTTACGTTAATATAAAATTAGAACAGGCTGATGTAAAAGCTTTGGGAAAACTTACCCCAGTCAAGGTTGATAGCATTCAAGTCGTATTCGTCAACAGCATCAGCGATGTTCTGAGCAAACGTGGTGCGGGAGGACTCGGAAGCGACAAGAGAGCTAAAGTAAAGCGAGCCGGTCCAGCTGTTGTGTGCAAAAAAATTGGACATTGGTTAGTATATTATCTACCAAAGTAAAGCTTCATAATAAGGCTACTACGGAAATAATGTATATATATAAATATATTCACCCGCCAATGCTCAAGCTGATTGACTTGTCATTGTCGTGAGCTTCTTCGGAGACTATTACGTGTGAAAAGAATCACATAAATATTAACAATGAACGTGCACATTTTAGACACAAAGAGAGTATGCTTGCTGATGCTACTTACTAGACTTGAGTTGATCGGCATTGAATTGACCGAGGCTACCGCTCTGGTCAGGAACAGCAAACGAGTAGATGACTTGGTCAAGCTTGTCCCAGGCAATTTGATCGGGAAGAGCCTGTAGAACACACGGATGTTGGTTAATATAACCGTGATCGCATCATTTACGACGCGTATCTTCTCTGAACTTACCCAGTCCGCAATGTAAGCGATCAAACGGTTATCAGACGAAGAGGAAGAGGAAGAAGAGGAAGCAGCAGCAGTAGTAGTGGTAGTGGGTTCGGCAGCAGCAGCGGGAGTGGTGGTTTCAACGGCGGCTGGCGTCGTTGTGGTATCATGATGGTGGCCATGTTGGTGGTGGTCCTTGCAACCAGCGACCGAAGCAATGAAAAGGAAAAGGACAGTCTGTACCAGCAGCAACAAACGATTGGAATGGGTCTTCATGATGAAACAAGAAGAAGAAGAGGAAGATGGGAGAAAGAAACGGTCGTGAGGATTGGGACGGTGCTACTGTCAACACGGCCGTTCTTTTATACTGATTGTGCCCATTTTGGGTTAATTTACGTTTTTTGATTTTTTAATGAAATTACAAAAAAGTGAAGTGACCCAACCCCCCTAGCCTCCGCGCGTCAATTAGATTTCTGTAATCTAATCGTATCACCATGTCTATTACTCCGCTCTCCTTTTGAATGGCACACGACGATGATCCTTTGCCGCATTCTTCTTGCGCCTCTTTGCGAGGATCTTGTCCATGTTCTTCTCTCCTAATTGCTGATATTTGTCCATAAGCTCCAGTTTGCGTTGTTCAGCTAAAAAGAAGAAAAATGACAGAAAGAATAAAGTCAGCTTTCAGTTTTCTTTAGGCTCTTAAAAGAACAGCCGTAATGTTACTCACATCGTTTCAAGAAGTAAGGCTTCTTGCCCTGTTTCACAAGCTCGGCTTCGGCCTTCTTGCGCTCGCGCAATAACTGCTGTTTTCGCTTAGTCTGTTTTTCTGTTGCCTCACGGGAAACCTTAATAAAACAGCTAGATGTTAGACATAAGAGAGAGAGAGAGAGAAGAGCATGATTCACACAAAAGCAACCACGCGGACGGCTCGTATCCAATTTACCATTTTCAGTAGTAGTGATTCCATATTAGCGCGTGTCTCCTGATTCTTTTCCTTCTTGATACTCGTACGAAGCATCTCTTGCTCGGATTTCTTGTAGTCGTTCAAGAACGAGTATGATTTTTCAAACAGATCTTGATTCAGCTGGCCAGACAGCTTGTCAAATCTCGGATCGCGTGTTTTCTAATAGCGTCATATAAATTAGCTCACGATGGCACAATTTATCCGATAGCATCAGAGAACACGGGCGAAACAAATAAAATAAAGATTATGAGATGAAATATAAAGAGTATATATACACACTTACTGATCCAGAAGCCGGTACCACATCGCGAAAACGACCGACAGCTTTTTTTGACGATACCTCCATTGGGCTAATTGGTTTTTAGCGAATTCCTGTCGATCTTCCCAATAACTCTTTGCCCAAATTTCTTTGCTTTCTTTTTTTTTCTTACCTGTTATTGCTTTCACGTTTCATATCTCTCTTCGTACGTCGTATCCGGTCTTTGCCCAATTTGCTTACAGCACCTTTGACGTCACGCATGATCTGCTCTCGGGATATCTTACGGGTACTCGATTGTGTGTCCTCTCCTTCCATTTTGCTTTTCACATCGGCGAGTCGTTCAAACGAAACATGGGCCAGACCTGCATATAATGCAATATACAACCAATAAATTAACCGAGAAAAGTGGGAAGTATCTGCCCATCACATACTTCGTTTTAATTTTTCTAGCTTTGCTTTCTGTGGTTGGTTGTCTTCAGAATCGTCTTGTGAATCGTCTTCCTGAGAATCTCCTTCCTCGTCGTCGTCGTCGTCGTCCTGACTGTATTCCTACGAGCGATCACAATGGTTACATTATTGTATTGACTTTAATCTAAACGAGGAGCGGTTTCTGGTCGAATTATTTACCTCATACTGCTCTTTGTCATTTTCGCTATACTCCATTTCTTCCTCATCCTCAAATTGATCGCTGTATTCGTCCTCTGGATCTGTCTTTGATATCCTCATTGTGTCTTTTATGCAGTTAAAGAAAAAAAAACTTTTTGCAGGTGAGCCAGCTCACGGGAACCCAAATAAATTATCGGGCCGAAACCGCTTTTTTCGAAAAAGGAAGCTCTTCTTTTTCATTATTGTTTGTTTGTTCCTGAATGTTTAAACGGCTTATACAGCCTCATGCTCTTTTATATCAACAATTACGGCCCCGTGCGAATCGGGCCCTACACTGTAATGGCATTCACACACAATCTGGAAAATGGCAATCCAAGCGAAATGGAGTTACTGTGGCAACCACTTTTACCGGGATCGGTTTGCTAGGCACCGGAATGTTACTTTACCTTGACAACGATCAACTTTATTACTATGCCCAGACCTTTCGACGGTCCGGTACAGCCGTCGTAACCGGTGCCAAGATAGCACTTGACTACCAGTGGACCTTACTGCGTGCTTCGGACGTAGACAAAGAAAGCGCCAAATCTGCTTGCCACAAACGTAGCGCTGAACGAGTCCTTCATATCCTGCAAACACTCGGCGGTATATACATCAAGTGGGGACAACACCTGTCGTCGATGGTTTTTGTGCTTCCAGAGGAATGGACGTCCACACTTGCGGTATTGCAAGATCGGTGCGAGTGTGCAAGCTCACCCGAGGAGATTCGTCACTTGGTGCGAGTTGATTTGGGCCAAGACTTGGATTCCTTGTTCTCCTATTTCGATTATGAACCGATCGGCGTTGCATCGTTGGCGCAGGTGCATAAAGCACAACTGGCTAGTACTGGTGAATGGGTAGCTGTCAAGATTCAGCATCCAAAGCTTGATGAGTTTTGTCGCATCGATATCAATACAGTGTCGTGGATTTTTGATACCATCCAATCGATTTTCCCAAATTTCGGATTTTATTGGGTCGCGGAAGATATGCGGGAGTCGTTGCCACAAGAGCTCGATTTTACTGTCGAGGCTGCAAATGCGCACAAGGTCAGCGAACAGTTCGCTGGAGATCGTACTGCACTTGTTATCCCTGAGGTTTTATGGGCGAAACGACGTATCATATGTATGGAATGTAAGTATGGCATTGAGATTTTATTTGTATCTTGAGGAAAGGAAGTCAGGAACTTATGACATTTCTATACTAGATATACATGGTGTCCGTATCGACGACTTAAACTATATGAAAAAACATAAGATTGATCCTAGCACCGTTTCTACTGAGCTAATATCAATCTTCTCTCGGATGATGTTTATACATGGGTAAGTGATGAAGTGTTTTATACAAACATATCTTTTAATAGTTTCAGTCTTTTACTCACCCTACATTTTACTTTTTTTTATATTCAGATTCGTTCATTGTGACCCTCGTAAGTACTCAGCAACTACACTTATCTTGTCATTACAGTTCCAATTTCTTATCTTCTTTTTTTGTAAAGACCCAGGCAATGTAATGATCAGAGCGAGCAACGATAATCCATCCGGACACAACTTTGATATCGTTCTATTAGATCATGGTGTATATCGGACTCTTCCCGATGAGCTTCGTGTAAATTATGCTCATTTATGGACGGCTTTGATTGAGGGGGACGAGGAGGGTATCCAGCGTTACTGCGAACTAGTGGGCGGAAGCGACCATCGCCTGTTTGCATCCATGTTGACAGGTCGAGAATGGCACACGATTCGATCTGCCAATCTATCTTCTGCAAGAACAACCACCGAAGTAGACCGTGTCGCGAACAAACCTACCATGCATTTTCTGCGACGGATTGCAGATATTCTGTCCTCACTTCCGCGCGTCATGCTGCTCTTACTCAAGACGGGCGATCTGCTGCGGAATGTAGATGAACTGCTACGCAACGCTTCTAAACCAGAACAGTATCGCACGTATGCAATCATGGGACAATTCTGTGCCAAGGCAGTGTGGGTTGAAACTAAGCAGCGCATTTCCGAAAAGGCTGCTACTGCTGGAGTCAGCTGGCAACTAGTGAAGCATTTTGCTGTTGCATGGTGGAAGTATCATCGGTTAGAATACAGTCTCTGGGCTTACAATGTACATTCTACCTTGCGTCAGAAATTATCCATCAACTTTTTGTAAATATAGAATTTTAATAGAGTCATCTTAGTATATACTAATTAATTGATACAAAGGTTATTGATTCAAAATAACATTTAAGGAGTTGTACATTAGCTAGCAAGCTGTTTTCAAATAGTCGCAGCGATTGTGTCAATGTTGAAAACTCAAGGAGTCGTTGTAACTTTAGTGTGGCAAATCTCGCAGTAAATTAAGCCCTAGATGATTATCCAAAATTGGGAGCTCAAATAGAAAACGACATGCTCCTTAGATATCGATTATATACAGTATTTTTAAAGAATAATAACCTATATCTTTGAAGTAGATATTTCCAGGTTTTCCGCACGGATGTCGAATGTATTTTTGCTTTTATGATAAGGGTTTTTTTAAGTCAGATTTCTTCACAAGGTAGTCCAGTGCACTAAGATATCCCAAACTGCTCAGAAAGCTCGCAATAATGTACAAAATATATTCTCTATATTTGTTATTTTGTTGTTGTATCATTTCGACTGTAGATCTCATATCATATTTTAAATTATTATTTTTTTTGGAAAACCAATGAATTTCTAATATATCTATCCCTCCTTTTCTTTTGCTTGAGATCATGACTTTCGAACATGTATATACATAAGCGGGAACTTAATGCTGCCGCTTGATGTGACATATCTTCTGAAGCGTACATGTGCCCTTTTCTTAAAAAGCGAAATTTTGTGGTACGCACACGTTAAGGATTAGAATTGTAAAGCAAATAGACGCAAGTTGTTTGACACGTAGTATTTTTTATGCACTATAGCAAATCTCCAGAGTATTGAATCTCCATTTGATTAGAAGTTGAGAGGACTGCTGACCAAATTTTTCATTCATCACAATAAAAACTCTACCCACCCTACAGATTTGTTATCTGAACATGTATACACACAGGTAGAGTGTGTGTGGCTATTACAAATGAGTAATCCAAAGTTTAATGGTTATGGATGACTTCTTAGAAAAAAATTGACGTGAAACCAATGCTGATTGATACCAGCACGGACGATAGTATCATTCAAAGCAAGGCCGAATTGCACACAATCGTTTTTTCACAACCAAATAAAGTACATCTCATATCCGTTAAAAATCTTTATAACTTACTACTGTTAGGCATTGAGAGGTCGTGGCTTTTATATAATTGTTGGTTTGCTTTGGCCTCGCTCTAGGTGCAGCGAGCGACACGAAATGTCACGCACTGCGGATGGGCTGTAACCTTCAAAAGGACGGTACCTCTAGGAGCAGTGAGCATCAAATGTTCCAGCTTTCGTCGCTTAACACAGATAGCTCCATTGCATGAGAATATACATACTCATCCATCTCAGGGCCAGCCAAATCGTCAACTGCGTTGAATTATACAGATATAGGAACCTAGTGGTTCAATCCATAGGCTAGCCATACAGGTGCCCCACAAACTGAGGGGAAAGTAGTTTGAGCAACAGCTTCACCCACTGTCTTGGACGTACGACAAAGGATTTTAAAATTGCGACTGATTTCACCCTCAAAATCATCTTCTTGCCCGATCTCACGGAAGTGGACGTTAACATCACGTTTTTCGATACTTGTACTACAGTATACTTAGCGAAATGATGCGGTATGGACTGTTTCTGGCGCAATGATCACGGATTCCGACGTGGAAATGATTGTAATAACATACTTTCGGCAGCGTTCTCTCCTTGAAACATCTAAAAGGTATATTTAGTAAGCTAAATACTCAAAACACTCTAATATGCCATCACAACGACCGTTGCCGCTTTTTTGTCTATTAGAGTGGCATCGTATTGATTAGTACAACGAATATTAATCAAAGGGGCGTGATTGTAAAGAGAACAGAATTCATCGGTAATCACTACCATTTTTATTTGTCTACACAGGCTCCAAAAACTTTATCTCTTGGGGTCGAGAACTTAAAGGGCTTGAGGTTAATGTGAGACCATTGCATATGTTTAGAATAGCGTGGTGTTGAGAGTCTTTTTCGTTGATTTTAGATTTGGCTTTATTCTTTGTTTCACTATTATTATACTGATTATCCACAGTTACGTTGGAAGTCCTTGAATGTACATCATTACTCCCCGTTAAGGTATTTTTGCAGTGCATTAATCTGTTTCACGACCCTTATTATAGCACAGCCGTTTGTTACTCCGTCTCTGTATCCTGATAGTTTGCTCACTCAGGTGCAACGTAATTTTCTCCTGCTTTATATCCATTAGCTTTACCCAAACTTAACCGGAATGTATATTTCTCGATGTCGTCATATATTATGACCTCTGTGTATGCTCAATACTATACTTTTCTCACTATGGGTACACTGACTTAATTCTTAAGTTTCCCTAACTCCAACTGCTCTGCAGGGCTATAGGGAAGCTACTACCTGTTGAAACGCTTTAACGGTGAATATCACCATGACAACTGGCATAAAGAAAGACGGCATTATACTTTGCAGACAGGTGTTACTAGGATCTAGGTGCTCTTATCATGTACCGTTTCGAAGGTTTGTATAGCAATAATTGAGAAATTAATTGAAGACTACAGCCGACCGTCTAATGGCTCTACTACCTTCCGTATGTCACCAAACTTACATTCGAGGAATCTTTGTTCCAGAGATTATAACATCTACTGTCAGTGCTCCACGCAATCAAACACATCTTACAAGGTGCTTGTAGTAGCTCACCCTTGCTGTTGACATCTATCTAGATTCCATGATAATCTCCATTTCACTGCGCTCCCAACTATAGGTGTGTGCATACTCTGCTTCGGATTTGTCCACAATCAAGTTCCGTCACTTGACCACTGTGTTGGCTCCTCCTGTAGCATAGTGACGAATGCAGCATCGTAATTTTCACACATAGTAAAGTAGCAACAGCTAAGAGAAAACAATGATATTACTTTGATATATGAATGGAAGAATGATTTGAAAGAAGGCTCATGCTAAGCTGATTATGGGGAGGGGGAGAGAGGAATGGGAATAAGAGTTTGAACTACAGAGACAACATATACAATGAAAGCGGATATGACAGGGTGAAGTAATGAAAACAGGTCATTACTATGAAACGATATAGGGTCATGATCCATGTTACTCATGGATATATTTACGACACTTTGGAGAGGAACAGTGACATCTAAAGGTCCCTTTTCCAGGTTTGCCCTGTGGCACGCTGACATCGTCATCAGCCTTGATTCTGCCTTCGTAATCAATTGTCAGCTCCTCGCCCTTTTTGATTGCACGGTTTGAGAAGAAAGCCAGTCGGTGGAAGTTCGGGTCGCTGCTATCACTGTAGACTGCGTAGACGCTCAAGTTGGGTGAACAAGAATGGTTGAAGAAATGACTGGCGTTTCCGAGCAAGAACGAGTCAATGACATATTCGACGCTTTCTCCAAAGTCCATATCGAACAGGTATGTTGTACCAGCCTTGTCATAAAATTTGCCACGGAAATTTCCCTGACGGTTGTTGATTACTTCGCCCAAATACTGCTCCACAAACATGCCTTTAGGAATGTCCTCCATTGCCTTAACACCCCAACCTTTAGCCGATGTCTTGTAGATTTCAAGAGGCACCTGGCGCCCCCGCTGAACAGTACGGTTTCGACAATGTTTACTACATCCGCATCTTTCATTGCATTCGTAAACTGGCGTGCCTTGAGGGATCTTGATGCGACCTTCTGCAGTATACACGCTGGCTTCATTATCGTGGCATACACCGGAGCATCCTTTCTCGTCACAGTCGCACTGGATAAGAAAAGCGGGATCTGGAGGGGAAACATTGTCGCCGAACACAAGGGAATCAACATATACAAAGTCGGTTGGGAAAGGATCGCCGTCAACAGTATTGACAACAGCCACGGGAGGAAATACTCCCTCATATACACTGTGGGTATCAGATTTGCGAACTAGCTTATGGGTATGCTCCTATAGTACGGGAGAAAAAAGAAAGGAATCCTGTGCGTCAATATTCCCCCCTTATTGCCATCGCACTCCTCGAAAAGAATGACCTACTTGTGCGTTCTGAATGGAAGAGTCTAGTGATTGCAGGAAGACTCGGATCGTCTCGTTTGGATGGCCTCTTTTGATAACATTCCAACTGGGCTTGAGCTTATTGCATTATAGACATGTGCATTGGGGGAGTGCGTGTAAATGTGAGTACGGCGTATTTTATCAATTAGGGAAACTTCTATGTCACACGAACAAGTTGATAACTAAGAAACAGAGTACTGCATACCTTTTCTGGAATCTCGTACTCAAGTTCCGGAGATACTGTTTTCCGAGACGTTTTGCGGGGAGAGGTGTTCTTTGGCCTATCACCTGCTGACCGTTTGCCGATTGTCGACTTCGAATTGGTTTTTGAAGCTAACGGCTCAGGACCAGGCGGGGGAGCAGGCGATTCAGATGCTGGCAGCTCTGGATCATATGTGTTGCGGAGTACAACACGATCGCGGGTATACAAGAGATTAGGGCGGTCTGGAAAATCCTGCATCAGCTGCTGTTCGAACTCTACCACCAGAGATGTATTGCCCAGAAGACAAGCTTCCTCTTCCCAAGTATTATCCTCAGGAGCGTAATCTTCCCATTCAATCAGGTAGCAACACTTCTTTCGCTTTGAGATAAGGAACGCGCAAATTCATTAATATTACTATGGATCGAGTGAAGAGTGTACCCACTAACTTACAAAGAACTTCCGGCCTGCTACGCGCTTCACCTATCCAAGAACAAACCAAGAGCAAAAGTGTGAATCAGTAAATGACAACACTCGATCTTGACATCATATTGAGGGACATTGTCAAGACAATTAGTAGGTAGCTAGGGAAGATCAAGAACGAAGGCTTACATAGTACTCATTCTCATTTAAAGTCATTTTTTGCTGGAAGAAAAGAAAGAGGACAGTTGGAGGAAGAGAGGTGGGGTAAGCGCCTGAACGCGTAGTTTAACGAGAGCAAAGAAAGCAGTTTGCAGACAAACTAGGCAGTTTATTGGCTCAAAAGGAAAGTTTTGATGACGTCGACAGCTGCTGCTCCGTCCAAGCCACTGCTCGATCAGCCAGTAATATCTGACGTTTAGGTGGCACCAATGATTTGGTGCAACTTTGAATGATTGTTTCATTCCTAATAGCTAAGCAACTACAGCAATACATGGATCTAGCCTTTAGATGGAGTGCCCTAAGGGATGGGTGAGTAGGGAGCACAAAACAGGCCGGATTTCCTTTTATGGCACATGATAATATTGATCATTTCTTAGATCTAGTAAAAGAAAGAGTATTAAGGCCATTGTCAGGTGCAGGTGGCAAGTTCAGCAATAGTGAGTCTCTTTGTGTACCAAAGATAGAGAAAGTTGTGGCTTTAAGCATGGGTTCTTTATTTTTTCATGAATTTTCATTAATTAGTAAGAAGACAAACTCAAAAAACGCCATAGATATCAATGCACTATATCTATCAGTGCGATGAAGTTACTACATGTGAAGTCCGACACAAAGAAGCAAAACGAGGGGGCTTACGTCTTTCCTTAATTGGCAACCATATATGGGACTTGACAAGAAGCATCTTTGGATCCATTATCAGGTCAGTTATGGCACCATGTTTGCAAGTCCGCCATGAAAAAGTGCAAGGTTGTAGGCAACCGAATTATTGATATACCCATGATAGCTAGTAGTAAATGTCTCAGGGCCAGGACTTACTAATGATTCCAGGCTCACTGTGGCGAAACAGTTGCTTGCATAAAGATCATCAACAGTTGCTGGGACGATCTATGCCTCTTCTTATAAGTTAAAAATGTTGTAGTGACATCTGATCTTCGTGAAACAATCTGGCAAGAGTTTGGGCTTTATCATCTGTAAAGGCATCATGTCAAAGTACACCCAGAAATCTATTATTTAAGTCATTGTGGTGGTCAATGAGGAAGCACGTGACGACGACGATGTATAGGAAAATATAAAATCAAAAAGGCAGCCTGACATAGCGTGTTCAGGTTTATGCATTGAAGACAATCAGTAAAAGCTCTCTAACTTTAATGAAAATATTATTAACGGCTGTTTGGTAACTTTTAGTAATACATACTAGTGGGGAAAATAGGAATGGGGTCCCAGTTGACTAATATGCCATAGTGTCGTTTTTTGTACGCTGGTGTAAGATAAGCAATAAAGGCTATACTGTCGTTGCTCGTTCAGATTGACTCCTAAGGTTGGGGGCTTTGAAAGGTTGAATTCAAATGAAGGTTAGAAAGGAAGCAGATTGGTTATACAAAGAGACTATTATTATATTTGACCTGAGACTCGCTGCACTTTACCAAAGGTGCTCTGTAATTGAAGGTATGAGGAGTTACGGCCTCCATCAACCATATGTTTTGTTTTGGCTGACGCCACGAAGAAGCGATCCATAGTAGAGTATAGAGGAAAGAAGACCCTGATCGAGATGAGCCATATCTTAAACACGAAGACACCTGAGCGCATACTGTACCACCCTGCACACAGTCATGCAATATTTCACCACTAAGACACAATTCATGGCCAAGGTTGATTATGATACTATCAGTACAAGAGTGAGCGTTTTGAGAGTAAACAGGAAGCAAACGCGTCCACAAAATATATGCACAGCTCAAATAAAGATATATGAAGGAAGCAGACTAGTGAAGCAAGATGAAGAACAAGAGGAGAAATTATTTGAAAGAGAACACGAAAAAGGAAAAATGCTACCTTGTGTATATGTCCTAACTTAGCGCCCTGATGATTAGTCCGTTTAAAATGATGGAACTTGTCTCGATATACGTACCACATCATGCACACTTAATTGTCTCAAAGTTAATTTTGTAAAGAGTGCATATATGCTTTTTAATTTATGATTTTTGAGGAACTTTCTACAGGGTTGACCTAAGTAAGGACTGAAATGTATCTGAGGTGGTCTTAATCCCAGACCAATATAACAGTACAGCCGAACTTAGTCATTCAAGATAAAGAGAAGAGACTGTCAAAATCACATCAGCACTTTTTATAAGTGATCGCAAAAGATGGAAAGGCGTGACAGCTTAAGAAATTTGCTTACAAATGAGTGCCACCATTGCCCTTAAGATTAAGCTTCACTATTCAAAGTAGGCAAGTAGCAAACTAAAATAAATAAGCACGTACAATATAATATCAATTGAAGTACTGTATAGATGCAGTCCAAAATATAGCCCCCAATATCGAAGCGGATGGTGGTAACTATAAACGCTTACCAGTTATAAAATTTGAATGTTATATATATGATACCATGGTTTTCGGCTTTGAGCCTTAGCTGAGCTTACGTCCGAATTTGTAGTTTCTAGTTAGCATCAGCAAGGATATTATCTTTTGCAATGTTGGCCTAGCTTTTTTGTAAACTGAATAAAATAAGAAATATGGGGTTTATTTAATGATTGAAAAGTACTTATTCTGCCCCAAATTTAACTGTGAAAATCAGTTGGGAGAGAGTGTAAAGACAGTTAAAAAAATCTTAAAGTGCCCTTGTCATCTTGTTTCATTAGAAAATTATATATTTCGGCCGTATGAGATTGTAAGCAAAGAGAGAACGGGAGAGGCAAGATCTTACTACTACAATAAGAAAAACAAAAATGGAGGTGAAAAAGGAAGTTGTAAAGAAGTAATAATAACAAACCGAGTTTATTTCTTGTATGAAAAGTGGTTTGTTTTTCACCTCCATTTTTGTTTCTCCTATTGTAGTAGTAAGATCTTGCCTCTCCCGTTCTCTCTTTGCTTACAATCTCATCGGCCGAAATATATAATTCTCTTATGAAACAAGATGACAAGTACACTTTAACATTTTTTTAACTGTCTTTATACTCTCTCGCAACTGACTTTCAAAGTTAAATTTGGGGCAGAATAAGTATTTTGCTGAGGAATATAGCACTGGTCGTTTTAGCACTTGTTGACATGAGAAATTGATATGAATATAGCTCCTGGTGTTCGGAAACCAAATAACGAGGATCTCAGTCTGTACTGCTGCTGTAAGGTATTATAGATAATACAAGCCGTTTAGCGATTTTGAGTCAAAGAACAATTGGTTAGACGTGCAGCTATAGCGAACAAGACAGAAGCCTAATATAATGTTGTAGTTTCAAATAAAATTTCTATGCGAATTATAAACAGTTTCTTTGAAGATTGTTCGTTCAACGCCATTTTCGATTCTTTTTAGCTGTAAGATGCGGACAGGTACAAGACAAGACAGACAAGGACAGAGAGACCGAACCAGAATGTATCAGGTGCTTTCAGCAGAAACAGGACAAGACAAGAAGGAAACCTGAAGGTAGAAGACCTGATGATGAGGGGAGAAACAAGGAACAAGATATAGGAAGGATATAAGATAACTGACCGACGTTTTACTATTCAAGGACTATGGTATCATATATATATTTATCTTTTACTACGGAATTTAATGATGTGAATACACGGAAAGATTGGTAGTAAGGTTGATAATTTGGATGTAGATGGTTGATGATATTGCTATTGTACTTGGGGATTTGACATATGATCATTGAGATTGAGGTTGATCACTTAGTAGAGGTCAAGGAATGTTCATAGCAAGCTGTACTTAGGGTTTTTATATACAATTAGAAGAATGGCTTTCCTATCTTTTATAATTATAGTAAGCACTTTTGCTCTTAGCGTCTCTTCTAGGTATCACCTTTTTATTGTAAAATTGGCTTTTACTTCTCTTCGTTTTCTTCCTTTACAGTAATTGTATTATCTACTTGCTATTGGTTGGCGTTTTTCCTTAGCAGTATGATCGTTCGCCATTAGTGCTTCTCTTTGCTAGCAAGATACTTGGTGTTCGTGGTTGCTGCATCAGAGCTCATTTAAATGTGGTTAGATGTCTATCATACGTCGCACATTTATGCAAAAGGTATTTTTATAGAGCTTTTCTATTTTTTATGAGGGGTTTTCTACTGATTTATGTGCCGGTTTTGAATGATTTCAGAAGACATTGCGCAACTTATGTAAAACCCCTACATTGGTTCTCAAGTATTTTCTGATGCGCTTTTTACTTTCTGACGATATAATATACCATATATGCTTATATGATAGAAAGAAGAAGGAAGTGATATAAGAGACCTTCATTTAGTGAGAAAAAGAACTCACGAACTATGATAAGTTGTGAGAAGAAATTTTATTGTATCGGTGTGAGAAACCGATTTAATTGGGATACACAGTGTGCTATTAAGCTAGTTCTTGGTGCAGGCAGGTGAGCATGCCCACTGCCTGTTGACCAACGTGATTGGATACGAAGTCGGCGTCCTCAGAAACACGTTTCCAGTGCGCCTGCCAGATAGCGAGGGCAGTACAAGCAATAAATAGGTGGAAAAAGAGCTTCTTGTATTTGTTGTTAATGTGTGGCGGAGTAGTGTGTGTAAGATGGAGGTGTTGGTGGTCAAGAAGATGAGGTGTGGCAAGAAAGACGGCGGTAACTTGGTCCCAGACTGAGCATTTCCTTGGACTGGACAGGTCCAGATAAAATGTTGATCAGTATCACGTCGGTCACAGAAAATGCATGAGTCGGAGGGATAGCTGTCCAGGATCAATTGGTGTAGACGAGCGCGACAGGGGAGCTTGTTGTGGTAAAAACGCCATAGAACAGTATGTGCTCGGTGCGGGAGTGGTGCCTTCCAAAAATGTTTCCATGCTGCTCGGGTTGCCCGTGGATAGGTGACAGGTAATGTTAGCAGAGGCGCGAGATGGTTTGGCGATACAATTGGTTGGTCAACTCGTCGATGGCAATTCCTGTCAGTAGGGTAGGGTGGACGTGATTCCTGGGGTCGTAGGTCGCACCAGAGGCAACGTTGTGTGCGTCGCTGTTGACTCGAAAGGTATTGAAAAATGGCGGACGAAGCTGGTTGCGAGAGAGCACTGACCCAGATGGTATAATTCGAAAAAACGGAGGAGTCGATTACGATGTTGCTCGCGTGGCGAGTGTTTGGTACGGCGTAGCAGGCCGGTGTGAGGATCCAATGTGAAGCTATGTTTAACCTGCAAACCAGTCCAATTGTATCGGCAGTTGGTGACTGGGTGGCTGGTCGGATTGTTCGGAAAAACTAGCTGGAGCGGCAAGTCTGCAACTGCGTCAGTAGTGATCGTCTTGAAGTTAATATCCAAGGCCAATGAATCACAGGTCTTGAGAATATTGCGTAGAGTTTTGATTGATTTTAAATTAGGTGTGCGGCAGCTGGCAAAGGCTATGGGAATCAAAAGACCTTGGGCGTCAGCGAGCACGACTAAAACTATGATAAGTTGTAATAGAGAGCTTATTTATATTAATCTGAGTTCAATAATTTAATATACGACGACAGCTTCTACTGGACACCCAGCAGTATTTTCACGAACACCATCAGGCAACACCAAAGCGACCATAGCAAACAGAGAGGAGACCACTGACCATAAGGGATGGGCCTTGACCTATGCGAAGAGGCACCTTATTTTGATCCAGCCAAGCTCTACTCTATATCGTCGTTGGAATAGAAAGTGCACTTGTCATGTGTCATCAATATGAGCTCTTTGCCAGTTGGTCCATCCAGTGTTGTTGGCTCGTCTTACGGAAAATCCACTGAGGCATACTCGTGCATTTTTCAATGATATGCCACCATGAGTGCAGCCCATTCTATCCAATCTTGCATCATATCTTCACGCTCATGGCCATCTGTATAGACCTAACAAAGAGATACATAAGATCGGTATATGTACAACGAAAGAAGATGACCCCATCAAAGAGCAATAACAAACTGATAATGATGATAATACTATATACATCCTTCTTTTGTGGCGAGCCACGGAAGCCCCAATGATACAACTGATGCTTGTTAGTGGCAACAGATATGGTGGGATTTTGTATGCCTGGATACAGATCAGGTATTATAATTGCTATTTGTATGTAGAGCGTTTTTCAGGTCCTGGGCAGTACACAAATTTAGTTCCTGTGCTCGCATCCATCCCTTGGCGGATTCCTTGATATTTTCTTCTCACAATAAGAGCCGGACATTCACACGCATACCTTGGTTACTGGGTGTGCTGGTACAAGTATTCAGAAGCTCCTTCATCCATTTGTGGTTTTGCCAGTACAACCAGTCAGAATTTTGTTGAATACAGCCTGTAGTTCCTCCTTTGCCAGGTAACATGAGCATGCCACTGTCTAACTTGCGAGACTTGTCTTTCTGGGGTTTGCTGTGCCACTTTTGTTCATCACAGATCTGGGACTATGCAGAGCATAACGCACTTTAAGAACTTGTTTGCGTAGTCATGCGTCATTGGAAGCAGCTCACTTTATTTGTTTTTTGGCACCAGCTGCAAGCTCCTTCAAATGAGTTAAGAAGATCTTGAGCGACCCTTATTTAAACTTGGACTATTGACCTTTTCTTTCATTATGATCTTAACTATGTCAGACACAACGTAACATCGTGGAATTGAAGGAAATACATATTATTTGCCATAGTGCATAGCAAAGATTGTGAATAAAAGTTGTGCTTCATTTCATTTTCGATGTACAGTATCCAGCATAGTCGTGCATGGTCGAATGTTAAGTATGGATTCTGTTAAAGGGACTTTGAGTCTGCCAGAAAAGAGATTGCTGGACCATTTACGTGATATCATTTACATAAATTTCTGAGAAATCAACGTTGCATGCCTTTGGTTCACAGCACTAGATGTTGTGTGCTCAGCAACAATCCTTCTTTATTCTTCCCAACTCCATTTCTTTTCTCTTGTCTTTAATGTTCTCAATTGCAATGCCACTTAATAATACACTCGGCTCTCAATTCCAAGCAAAGAAAACTGGGTCCAGGACAGCTCCAGTTCAATTTTATCATGGAACTGACCTGTCAAAAACTGACCTGACTCGAATTTGTCACAGGGTTTCTCGTTTCTCATGAGGGCTCTTCTTCATTGGAACACTATTACTGTGTACACCAATGCTCACCAGAAACGACGAGAGATTACAGCACAGAGAAACAATAAAACATAATCACAGCACTTAAACTAACAGTTTAGTTTGAGAAGTGGTGTGCCAAGACTTGATACATACTACAAGAAGGCAGCTCTAATCCGCGGCATTTGGTTGGCACCTCAGCTTATAGTAGGCTGCACATTCGATGGCTTCACTTACTAGAAGTTGTTCAACTTTGAGCTCTTTTATTTTTTTGTTAAAATGGCTATTTTAACAATTTATAGCGCACAAACTTCTCTATAACATCTGTAAATACGTTCTACATATTTATTTTTTTCGAAATAATAGAAAACTGTTTATGCTGCCTACTACCAATTTTAATATGGTCACGCATAGCTGTAGTGGTTTGATAAGCAGTTACGCTTCTTCACCATATAATATACTGGACAGCAATGGTTATGACATACTGGGAAAATAAGCATATTTGAGACAAAGGAAAAATAGAAGTATTACTGTTAAGGAAAATATCACTGAATTTTTATATCAATCAAAGGGAATTCGCATCATTATTATGTGACTCAAAACTATCATTTTGAAAATGCATAATTCTAGATGCTATGTAGCAAAGTCTGTTTTATATTGAATAGTTCCTAGATAATTTTCCCCACTTTTCTAGTACTAATAACAAATAACAAAATATATAGTAAGAAGTAAGAGGGCGCCGTACAAGCTATTGTTGTATCCAGAGAATTAGGACATCAATCAAGTTCCACAAGGATAATTTCTCTATATAATAACTAGTAATAAGAATATTTGGAACTCTCTGTTTCTCTCATAATAAAAACATGACTGCTAAGAGTCTCACGAATTATCTCGTCCCATTTCCGATCCTCGACAAAACAGCTATTATAGAGTAAAATATGTATCCTTAAATGCATTCTCTATATACTTCATTGGAATCACATGAATCTGTAACATAGTGCTTCTCTTATATCTATTAAACTGAAGTTTGTAAATGCACTTGATATACTTCAAATATGGGTGCTTCCTCGATCATTTTCGAGAGCCCTAACGAATAATCCTCTTGCAAAGCATCATACGAAATGACACGGACAAGGTAGAGCCCTACACAATACATTTTTAATAGTAGTATGTTGTTGCAGGAGACTTGATGGCTAGTTATTCAAGGGTAATAGTTGTAGCGATGTACTACTAAAGCAATAGCCAGTATGACACTCCTCTGCTCTTCTGACACCTTCGTATCTGCACAATAAGAGTTCTGCCTGGTTCTCTGAGCATATACTACCTTCATCTGATCGGTCTTAGAATATAATTTTGGCAATTAAATAGAGCATTGACAGCTGAATATCAAGGAAAAATGCAGAAAATCAGACTAGCTGTGTCAAAAAGGCCTGCAACTGCAATGCAGCAACGAAATACCTAACGAGTTCCCGTGGCTTTAGCCAATCTCCCATCGATGAAAACACGCCTCCACATTCCACAGCCCAAGTTTGTGACCCGATCCCAGGACTCTTCCAGTGTCCATACTACTGCAATCAGAAGAGTTAACATTCTTTTGGCATTCTACAATTTACAAAGGTGACCATCGACGTTTATAAAAGGAAGCTAACTACTTCAAGTCCATTGTTCCAACTCTACCTAAGGCTATGCACTAGCAGCACACCTTTAGCTAACCTGTCAAACAAGCCATTAAATAACAACAAGATGACGTTTATACAGCTTAAAAAAAAGTCTATTCGATGTCTTTGAATATTTGGTTAATTGATTTAATCCTATACATACCAGCCACAACTCGTGGCCACATCGACTAATTAGATGGCGGATGCACTACTACCAACTAGAAGCACTATTACACTACATGCCCTCTTCTGAGAGATGTGCTGGCGTCTCTCAAGCCTACGATCGGCCATCCTCTGGCCTCTCCACAAGATACTCACATCATTGATCAAAAGAACATGGAATCTCTGAGGGCAAATGGTCCAAAGTCTGGATAGCTCGCTCGCCACACTGGGCGAAATTGATCGCTTGAGTCACACCAATCTTGACTACAACAACGACGTTGAACCACTCCTAATAGACCCTGAGCCACTTTCACAACAATCATCTCTATATTTACCCCACCGCTAAGTGTGGTGTTTTTTGTATAATACAGTTGTACCCCGGTTTTTGCAACCCCCGGGTTTGCAATTCCTCGTATATCTGCAACTTTTTTTTGAAAAATCCAAAAAAAAACTTAGTAGTTTCGCAAATTTGCAACTTGCAAATGAGTTTATACGATTTGCACGTTATCGGGGTAAAAACAGCTTCAATTTTTGCAATATCAATTGAAAGAAGCATCTGTTGTGGATTATGAGGAATAAAATGATACGGTTACTGCAAGATAAATATGTAAATATGAAGATGTATCTATTGTCGAAATAAAAATTATTACTTGGTAATTGAGCCAGTAGAATCGGGACACATATATAGCACTGATTGGGTTGAATCCAGAAAAGAAATGATGAAGATATAAGAAAAAGTGAATACACTACATATAGATATAGAAATAAAATGTTTGCTCAAATGAGCTTTCAACTACATACATCGAAGAAATCATCAAGGGATGATTGTCGGGAGAATGATTGCTGCCTGAGACTCTCTTGAATCCTACGCAAAGACTTCTTTAAGTCTCAGTCATCGATATTATCCAAAAAGCTCAAAACTCCTGCACTTGCAACCTGTTTTTCCTTCGACGTTGGCCCTGAAATAGGCGAATCAGCGTTTTCGTCCACCGCCCGCTCAAGTGCTCGTCGTAGGTTCCTCTTGCTTAGATGTGAACTTGTGGAACGATTTTGTCATGCTTAAAAGAGCTAATAATTATCAAACCACTAGACAGCTTAATAAAAGAACGGTCTTATATATGCAAGTATGTAGTAACATTTAGAGCTGTATGAATATCCCCACAGAACGTATCGTACATAATCTCTGACAGATAAACAATGGGCTAGTGTTAATAGGATGACTTATCCAGTGTCTATTTGAAGCAGAATTGTTTACCTCGTTACTTGCAAATCCTCACTTTTTGCAAAAAAAAATTCGGAAAACCCTCGGTTGCAAAAACCGGGGTACAACTGTAACACCTAATGACTTGATTTTCACCCTTGCTTCTGTTGTATGTCTTCTCGCTTTTTCTTTCTTGCACTGTGACTTCCCTGATGCTACTGTACCTCTATTTTTTCTTCTAATTTTATTTTCTCTTTTCTCACTGGGCTACTCTATATTCTATTGTTCTACTACCCCTCTCTGTAACAACACCATCCATTGCATCAATAGCTCTGTACCGCAATGAAGCGACCGTATGCTGATGGCGCTGACCAAGCCAGTCTTCCATAAAAAAACTGGACATTTGAGCAATTTAAGAAACATCCAAGATTATCAAGACCCGCCTCTTATATCGGGCTCATACTTTATTTTCGTCACGCTTTCAGATTTATGTCTTGTACAATACAGTATTGCTCATCAAAACATTTCAGAGGTCAACTAAGTATTTTAGACTACAAAGGACGCCAAAAATACGTATCATCAGATGTGTCACCCTAAACATAAGGACTGGTATACAGTACTAACTTGATCGTTGGACAAATTTCTATCGTTTTTCATAGCTAGTTGGAGACATGATATGCATTTTCTGATAGCTGCTGTATCCATTCTGGTGAAAAAGCACTCCTAGAGATTGCTGAACGTTATAGTATCGTTAAATAAATTTAGCACCTGAGGTCCCGATGAAGTGCTGCTTTTCCAGCATGTGTTACTTCCCAGATAGATGCTCCAATTACATATCCCAAAATTTTGGTAAGGAAGAAGAAGAGGTAATTTTGAGAGTGTCAAGGGCGTATAGGTCTAACTTTTCAGTTGACTACTGTGGCCTTTTTTCCCTTTATACCAGGTGGTAATTTCAATGTGTATATTTATAAGGTGCCGATAAGGACAATACAAGACAGAAAGGCCGGACAAGAGTGTGTTACATGCTTCCAGCGAGAGCAGGACAAGTCCAGAAGGAAACCGGGAGGTAGGGGACCAGATGATGAGGGAGAGAACGAGAAACATAATAACTGACTGAAGTTTTATGATTTAAAGAGTATGGCATATACATTTTCTATTCAAAAATTTAATGATGTAAATAAACGGAAATATTGGCACTAAGGTTGATAAGTCAGGTGATGATGATTGACAATATTGATGTTGGGGGAATTAATATAATGCATATCATATCATATGATCATTTAGACTGAGGGATGATTATAGCAGAGTTCGAGGTATGCTCATGACGATATTTATATTCTGTGATAGAAGCGATAGGCAACATCCAGTGTTGCCATATTTAATAATGAGGGGCGTGTACCAGATACTAATATTCTTTTTTCTCTTCTTAGCTTTTGTTTTCTAGTGTCAAAAGTGTCAATAAGGACACGTTTTCCTTTGCTTTCCTACTGTCCCTTGCATGTATGAGACTCTCTCATCAGGTAAATGAGCGATCACTACTGTGATGACTATCTTGTTTTTTTCATCATCCCACTGCTGCTACTCTGCCAAGGACTCGAGCCAATTTTGCCATTTAGACACAGGCTGGCAGATTATTACCGAATTACCTGGTTGTAGCACTCCATCTATGTCGCACAAACTTAATAAATGTGTAAGCTACACCTGTGCCCCGTCACTTTCTCGGTATTCTGAGAAAAGGCAGCAGTATTATACTGTTCCATTCGAAATCTGAAAAGTAAGCCACTCTCAATGCAAGGAAAAAATAGTCAATTTTTGCTATTGCTGTCCAGATAAGGATCAACTTCTCACTAGTAAGAATTTTCTTCTTACTATCGCCATGTCTACCGAGTTCGAATTTTGCTATATTGGTTTTAAAGAAGTATGTTCAAAATGGCTTTTGTACATGAAGTTTGCAAATTTGGATCTTGTAGCAATGTTTCGTGCATGGTTGCTTTACCGAATTTCTCCTTTTTAATGATTAATCGATATCTTTTACTTGACAATATCATGTTGGTGGGCTGCTGACAATTGATTGTTTTGTTTAAGCTGTTGCTTGGCATTTTTAAAAGTTCGCATCCCTACTTTCAAGTTAGATTTTACAATAGCACCTACTTATGTTGTAGTACAGTCACAGTAGTTCTGCCTTCATTATACGATTACTTACATATCATGAGTTCTCACTTCTTTAAAGGGGCTGTAGTAGTAGCATTGGTGTCTATAAATTTCGCTCTATCTAGTGCTATATTCGTCGAGATATCAAAGGGCACATCTCTTGACTGCTGTATGACGAAGAAGAACCATTACGCAAGATACTACTTAAGACCCTTGACTTGTGTCGTAAGGACCCTTGATACAATGAGAAATGAATGTTCGTGCATTTAAAAGGTACGACTTACAGCTTCGGAACTAGTACAGTAATACTACTATTCGCTCCCACTCGATGAGTCGACCTTTGCACTGAAATACTTCCGGCTCCATCGTCTTATCTGGAAAACTATATGCTGTTGACGCGACTCCCTTCTCACGAATAACAAGTTCCCATCGACACGTTCAATTACTCTATTAATCTGATCGACAAGTGATGAACCTGGTGCATCTAACAAAAGACATACAAAGTGTGGCGTATTGTGTGTTTTTTGTTGCTCTCTTTCAAGATCTACTTGAGCTTTCTCAATTTGGTAACTAATGTAACCAACTCGTTTGTTTTGTGACTGGACACTAATTCTTCTTTACCGTCAATTATGCATTTTTCAAGTGGGACGTGGTGCACTTTCTGCCACGTGTTGAAGGTGCACTTTTTAGTGTACACCTTAAACCTTGTTTTTAAAAATTGGAAGGCCTACAAAGGCAGGCTGATTCGGCTGTTCGATGATGGATGATAATATATAATGTCAATGTTCTAGTTATTTGAAAGGTTTGTGGCTCAAACGCACAGGATAATAGAGGATAATATGAAACAGAAGAACGTCGTATGCAAAGCTCTAGTAGCGGTGTCATTGGTTTTTGATTAGCTATCGCCTTTGACTTTCTCCGTTTTGAAGAAGGCTTAACTTGCCTGTAAATCTCACTGTTATTGAGCTGTTGGCTGTCCGTCCTTCATCATCATTTCTTAACACATGCTTTATCGTATCATAATGGAAGTCGCTGGAATGACTCCGACATCAGCACAGGAGCACCTAGCAAACATACAGTTGCAATTCGCTATATTATCAGTTCTTCTATTATAGGCTAGTGCCTTCTTAAGAACCAACTAGGTATATAAATTATTGTGCAAAGTTATCGATTACAATATATAACAGGACTGGAATATTGAACTATTACTTAGAAGGCAAGAAAATACCGTTCGTGCTGTTTTCGGCGACACCAGCTATTTAGCTATTTGCCAAGTAGTCGGGGCATGACGGACTACGCTTTCTGTGCCCCGAAGTTTCTACCACAAGTCGAATATTTAAAAGCGACAAACTTTTACACGACACCCTGGCAATACTTTATTCGGAGTCAAAAAACTGGAACGCGATGTGGCGGGCCACTGATATGACTTTTGCATTTTTTTATTATGATGTATTGAGTTATTTGCTGGACTTTCGTCGTGTTTCTTAGAGGGAAAAGAAAGGTTCTTGTTTAAGCCGGCATCATGGAATGAGAGCTGGAATATTGCACTCTTGAATATGAAGCGGCAGTAGAACCTCACATTTATTTGTTTACATTTTACATGTAAGAAGAAAAGGGAAAAAGAACGAAAGTTGCTCCGGCGGCTGAAACGTGTAACTGATAACGCCCCATTGCAGTTTTGTACGTTTACGTCGTCTTGTCGTCCGTGTTTTGACAGGGAAGGGTTTAGGGTTATCTTAGCCCCTGCACATTGCTCTGTGTAACGTAAATAAACACTCTAATGCAAGACGTCGCTTTCTTTCCTCGGCGCCCTTCACCGTAGATTTAGCATTTCAAACTTTTCGTACGTTGGCCATCCCAATGACAATTTTTTTTTTCGCTTAGAAAGAAGTTGCCGTACTACATGTATGGTTCCTGGAAATTCGTTGCCAAGAAAAATGTATTGCGGGGAATGAAAATCAAACATGCTGTTGTTGTTGCTATGGAAACCAGGAAGGCAGAAGCGGCATTCATTAGGAAGCACACGTTGGACTCCTACACGAACTCAGGCGTTTTTTGACTTTCTGCTACACGAAAGTCATCACCTTATCTCTCGCGCTGACGACGACAGCTATAAAGCCGGTAAAGAATTGATTGTGCTCTGGATTTTTTTTTTTGCATAAAAGCACATCAAAATGTGAAAACGCTCCCGGCGCCCTCCCCCGTCCGAAAATCGTTGTCAGACGATGTTCGTCATGGTATGGCGAGCAATGCTAAGTTGTTGAAAAAGACATGGTAAACGTAGATAAAGCAGTGGCTGATACTGTGCAGCATTGCGCTGCACAGCTGGTGTCCAGCGAATAAACTGTTCATGCTATTTTTTTTTGCAGTTCGCCTCGTATTTAAGATGCTCATGAGCCTCGCACGATAAGAAATGCTGTCGTATGCAATAATAAAATGTATGCAATATGCAACAATGTCATCTATGTAAGCTGATATTTTATACACTAAATCGTCGCGATATGACTGTACGGATGCCCGCAGTTTGCTGCGTATGACTTCCACTTTGACACTTTGACAACACAATCAAATCTCATCAAGTTTCTCACGCTTCGCTATCGCTTCTTTTGATTTACAATCAGATCTCGCACCCTCTTTCTACTGTTCTCTTTATATTTTGTTAAGCATCGTGGTGTTTTCACCTCAGTCTAGCATCGTAGCAACGTGAAGGCTGCAGTATCGTCCAAATAGCTTGCAACAAAAAGGAATTCTGCAAAAAGGTGAGGAACGGGAATTTAAGTTGGTGGGGCCACTGATTAGATCTTTCGAGCTGGGATATTGGCCATTCTTGGGGATGAGTATTTACCGTAAGAGAGTGATCTGCATCTATTCTTATAAAAAGCAGGATTTTCAACCCCACAACTTCTGATATCGGCCAAGCTACCAAAAAAGAATGTATACAATGACTATGGAGACTGACAAAATGAGCAACACACGTCGTTAGTTGTGCTATCTTGACTGGATAAAGAGAATTTGGATCGGCGGCGTCCTCTTGTCCAGAACGACAGAATGCCGAACGTATGTTTTACATTGTTATTGTCAGCGAATTAGCTGACGATGTATGTATACGTAGCTGTACTTATTCGTTACTATAAAAACGCTCGAAATTTTGGCCGAATTCTGGACGCATACGTACATGGGGTTAAACGAAAAGGCAACCGAGCAACTCGCTGCTTCGCGCAGAGAAAATCCCAAAAATTCCTAATGATTTTGCTGTTCTTCTTACTAGCGAATCGTAACAGCTTTGACAAGGAAGAGACATTGACCGGCATTCACGGTGGCCACGAAAGAGCTGAAGAAGCCTGCCACAGTTTAAGGGGAAGGACACTACAACTCTATATTTAAGTGGAAAAAGGTACTTTTAGTAATTTAGCCCATTATTCAATTTTTCGGTCTAAAGTAACAATTACTAAAAATACTCTATATAACTTTTTCTTCCTTGCTTCTGCTGTTGTATTAAATATGCCCGTCCCTTGCGGGAAGTGACATGCCAAAAGCGAATGAGAAATTACTAGAGTTTAACGTCATCATGGTTGCTTTCAGCCTGTGAGCAGCACATATTTGGCTATTTCATCATTAATCAGTGGGCGTCTTTTGCTCTGCATGCACACTGCAGGTTCTATTTGTTATATGTCCGTTTGATGCTTTGATATGTACATAGTGGTGGTCTGCAGTAGTCCAATTCATTTCATATCAACCGATAAAGAAAGCTTACCTACGGCGGATAGTATTTGTCAACACAGACATAAAGCCAAGCAGCCCCAACCCCTCTGACTTCCTCCGTTACTGTATATTTAACTACTAATATCAGTATGCTGTTGTCTAATGGTGACATTGCTACTGTAACAAAAGTTATCATTTCTTGTATCGATCACCATCGAAAACAGCCATCATTCCAACGATTTAAACTGACGAAGGGCCTCCTTAAAAGCAGATACACAGCGATGCGTTGTTACATCTATCAGTCGCCGCAGTAGCGTATACTCTTTTTGAGTATGCCTCACGAACCATCCGTTAGGCTTACTTGCTAATATAGAGCCTACTCTAATAAATAATAAGGGTGTGTGAGCACTGAAATGGTCAATGTAACGAATATCTATTATTAAGTACGTAGTACAATTGTAGACGATCCTATGTAATTCAAGCGTCCGCCATATACCCGACCACGTGTACTATGTGATATCGACGCTATTCACGTTTTCCTATTGAAGCTCATTTCAAGCGGCCTCATACAACATTTTAGGGGGGTTAGCCACACGGTAACAATAACAATAACGGCTGTAACCATAATATTTAGTGTATGTGGACATGAAGCGCGTACTATGGTTATGTAACTTGATAGGGGTAATGGTTATAGCAGCCCAGGCGCGATGCGCGACGTTTACGAATTCTACTTCTTTTCTACTTATTACGAGTATCTTGACGGATGCATTAGTCGGTGGTATAGGGCACATGCTGCAGGGCAGCTGCTCTCACTGGATATGGGTATAACTGGAAGGATGAAAAGGGGCTCGGCTCTATGTGATCGACAAGAAGATGCACATACACTTTGCATGAAGGACGTGTAGTACAAAGTAATGTAAACAAGAACAACAACAGCAGCAGCAACGAGACACTCATCAACAACAAACAGCAACGCAGAATTCGAAACATGTGAAAGTCTGAAACGTAACGCACGTTTGAACGAAAGAACACTTTTTGGGTGGTACCCCAGTTCCAGCATCTTGTGACTCCAAAGCAGGTTTCTTCTTTTTTTTCATTTCTTGCGTCAACCCTGTCTCCTTTCCTTATTAAAATAAACGATTACTTTTTTTCTGTTCCCTCTCCTTTCGGTTCTTTTTTCCTTTCCTTTCTTTTTCTTTCATTACATATCCCATACGCACGTACACATTCACTTGTACAATTGTATGCTGCATTGGTGGCCAAAAAACATTCAATGGCAACTCCACCATTAGGCCTAATCGTCGCCTATGTTGCGGGCGGCTTCACTTTCTTTCCGGTCGTACTGCTGATTCTCTACATTGTGCATAAAGTGTCCGCATTCGGCACCTGGACAGTGCAGCAAGCGGCCTATGAAGGCGATCCCAAATACGCAGCAGCAGCAAGAAAAGCAACTAGCAATAACGCCTCTATCTCCACGTCCACGATATTATCTTCGCTGTCGTCTTCACCTTTGTCATCGTCGCAGTCGTACAAAGTGGGGTGGCTCCGGGTATCTCGGGACGAACAACGGCTGCCTCCGCCAGACGCAAGCATAGGCGACATGGTAAAGAACATAATCATTGCCGGCAATAATCGCAACAATGAACAAAACGAAATCTATTTTGCGGCCCTGAAACACACGACGCTATTTCTATACGATTCGGAACGACAGCTGGATTGCAAAGGCGTGATACAAGTCAACCAGCATAGGGTGATGACACATCCACCTGGTTTACACGACCACGAGTTGTTTACGAGGCCGCATCTCATCAAATTGACGCATAAGGACAAGGATTCGCATTACTACATCAATTGCAGCAAATGTATCGACAAGGAAGACTGGTACTTGGCACTACTGCGTGCTGCGCGATCTTCTCAGGAGGACGAAGAATCGATGCATTTTGATCAAGAAGCCATGAACAAACTGCTCACGACGATTCACAGCGACGAGCATCATTTCCAGACCCAATGGTTCAATGCCATGCTAGGCCGGATTTTTTGTGCATTCTACAAGACCGATGCGATCAACGACCACTTGTACAAGAAGCTTATTTCAAAGCTTGACAAGCTCAATGCCCGTCGTCCCCCATTTCTCGGCGAAATCACTGTCCGATCAGTGGATGTGGGCCATGCACCGCCGTTTCTGACCCAACCTCGGCTGCTTGGCTTATCCCCGACCGGCGCGTTGACCGCTGAAGCCAACTTACAATACGAAGGTGGCATCCGGTTCGAAATAGAAACCGTGCTCAAGTGGAAATACTCGGAACATCTGCGCCCGCTGACGGTGGATCTGGTGCTGGCCATCACTCTCAAGTCGCTGCGGGGCAAGTTCTTGCTCAAGATCAAAGAGCCGCCGACCAATCGGTTCTGGTACGGGTTCTACGAACTCCCCAAGATGGAATGGCTGGTGGAGCCGTTGGTCGGGGAACGTCGCGTGGAGTATTCCATGGTCGTCAAAGCAATTCAAACTAAAATTGACGAGCTGGTCATGGAGAATGTGGTCCTGCCAAACCTGGATGATATCACGTTTTTCCCAACCAATGGGGCAGGGGGCATTTTTGGGTCAGCAACATCTGCACCGCCAGCTAAAAATCCGGATCCACCAGAAGAAATATCACCCACGCCTACTGCTGCTGCCACTCACAAGGCACCTGTTGAACCGTCAGCATCACTCCCGGAACTGTTTGATAATAAACCGGATGGAAAGCCCAAGATGCGACGGTGGTTCACCAGCAAAGATTCGCCCATGTCAACCCCAGCAGGCGAGGTAGATGATGCTGGGACCAATGATGACGCTGATGATGTTGTGGCATCACCACGACCACTAGCAAAAATGACAACATCGCTTTCAGATAGTGCCCGTGGAGAAAAACACCATCAGCGATCGTTTATCGATGCAATTTTGAATCGGAAACCGACAGCACAACAACAGCAACAACAAAAGCAAAAACGCGAAAAACAAAACATAACAAAAACAACAACTGCATCCTCTCCAACTGCATTCCCCAACTCTATTATACCAACAGTCGCCATTTCATCGTCACCTGACTCTTTATCCTCATCATCGGCATCTTCCTCCAGCGACCCTCCCAGCAGCAGCATTGACAGCAGTAGCAGCTTGCTACAGCAGGATGTACCACCACCATCCAAGCACCCTCTCCCTATTCCGATTATTACCACGGACGTTGAGCAGTACGACGACTCGGACCATGATTATTACGATACAGCAACTAGCAGGAGCATGACTGTAAATACAGCTTCTATGACAACAGACAGCGATGGTCAACAACGACAGCTACGATTACGGAAATCGGCATCACTGGCCCGACTCAAGGCGAAATCGATGGCGTCAACAGCGGTATCACAGATCAATGTGTCACCAAAGATGTACCAAACCGAACTGGTCGTCCATCGAAAGCCGCTTGGTAACAACAACAACAACAACAACAACAAGTGTACAGATGCAGCAACCGTGATAAGCTCAGTCCATCAATCTGCATTACCGTCTTTGGTTGAAAAACCAGTTGTGTCTATAGCATGATAAACAACATTATAGATTCCATTTCTTTGCCTTTTGTATACCGTTATTTTCTGTTGTAATATCCATTTCACACACAATCCCAACCACACACACACACACACACACACACGCATAGCCTCTTCTACCAGACATCTCAATCTCCTTTTGTTTACATAAATATATAAGGTTCATCTTTACAGCTTTACAGATGCAGTGGGATATGCTTTTGAAATGTCCACAGCCTCTTTGGATGAGGGCGGCAACGAGAATTTTGCATCCACCTTGGCCTGCACTAGCTTGGATGCGACCCTGATAAAATCGTCCACAGCCTTGGCGTCGATCTGGTGATGGAGCACGAGACGCGTGACCGACCCCTCGTCGCGACTGATCACGATATTGTGTTCATGCAGCGCGTCTGCCAGTTCCACGATACTGAGCGGCGCTGTTTCTAGGAACACCATATTAGTATCCACGGGCAACAGGGTCCGCATGCCGAGTGCCTCTAGTTTGGTTGCCAGCTTTTTGGTCAGCCGGTGTGTTTCTGGCATCGTAGGCACAACCGTATCAATACAATGGTGAGCGACCTTGGCAAGTAAACCCGCTTGTCGCCAACCACCACCCATCAGCTTGCGCAGGTGTCGTGCTTTTCTGATAATCTCGCTTGAGCCAATCACAAGCGAGCCGATCGGTGCACCCACGCCCTTGGATACGCACACCGAAATCGTGTCGAACAGCTGGCCATAGTCTGCAAGTGCGACCCCTGTGGCCTGGCTCGCGTTCCAAATACGCGCACCGTCTAAATGGAGTTTGATGTTTTGCTTTCGCGCAAACGTGTGAATTCGTTGCAATTCATCCAAGGGCATGACGGTGCCATTCAGCGTGTTTTCCAGCGCAATCACTACACGTATCAATTGTTTCGTGGGTCAATTCCTCTTTTCGTAATGGGCACAAAGACTTTCAAAAGAAAAACGGTGAGACCTTTTGTCAGTGCACCGCATAAGTCGTCGGTTACTATGTTTGCTTGTACATCCTCAGCAGTCAAATAGAGTTCATTTTTTGGCAATGTTGGCGTCAAACCAGCTTGTGAATGGTAGGCTATATATTGAAAAAGAGACAGAACATGATGAATTATAATTCTTTAAAAATAGCAAGGGAAACACTGCATATACCTAATCCTCCGCATTCATACAGATAGATATGAGAACGAGAATCGCACAGGACAGAATGAGGTGGTTGGGTTAATAAGGTTCGCAAACCGAGCTATATACACATCATTCACCATGACAGGTTATTTCAAACTTGAAGAAAAGAGGAATGGTTTCTCGATTACTTCTTACTTGGTTGGTCATGGATCCCGAGGCACAAAACAAGGATGCCTCGTGGCCAAACAGTTTGGCAACATGATGTTCCAGCTCGTTCACAGAGGGATCGATCTATAAATCACCCAGTAAAGGAGAATGTTAGCTATCAATGCTGTCATGCGCATAATAGCCTTGTTTCTGGACATACGCCAAACACGTCATCTTTACGCGAAGCCGACTTCATGATATCAAACATGTCGTCGGTTACTTCCGTTGCTGTATCGCTTGTCATGTCATAGACTCGCGGCCGAGAAGTAGTGGCCAGGAATCGGCGTGATGCAATGGCAGAAGTGTGTTGACGAAGCTGCACATTAGTTTTAGCCTTCCAGCAAGTATTGGCTAGAGCCCCGCGCAGCATGATTGGGGATAAAAAAGATTTGGTTGAAAGAGAAAGAAGAGAGAAACAACGTGGTCGGAGAGAACTAATGTGAACTTTAATTGGATAACAGCAAAATAGAAAGGAAAAAAACTACAGTAATGGGGGGAAAAGACAGAGTACGAGAAAGTAGAGAGGATATAGTGTATCATTCAGAAGACCTTGGATGTTTTTTTTTTAGTTTGCGACGCCAGGCTTGTTACCGTCTGCCTTGTTTTCCCCTGAACCAGCAATGGGAGAACCAGGATGCTGGTCTTGCCGTGCCATGGACGGATGGTTGCGGGTGGGTGGTTGTGGTGCAGACGATGCAGGCCAGTAACCTGCATGCTGTTGCTGTTGTTGTGAAAGATACGGGGATTGCTGTTGTTGAGGTTGTTGCTGATGACTGTGGGGCTGGGCAGCGCCGTAGTATGAAGGAACAGGGCCACCATAGTGCTGCTGTTGCTGCTGTTGCTGCTGTTGCTGTGTGGATGGATGTTGTTGTTGCTGTTGATGGTAAGGGTTAGCAGCCGCAGCAGCGGCGGCAGCGGCCATGTAGCCAGGATGATTGTTGTTCCAGCTACCACCAACATAGGGCTGATAACCAGCATTCGTACCAACAGGTGAGCCGGTTGCCTGAGGTTGCTGACGAGGAGGCTGTTGCTGCTGCTGCTGCTGCTGTTGTTGTTGTTGTGGTGCAAATCCCGATGGTTCGGGCTAAATTAAGTAATAAAAAATAAGCTTCTCCACACTTATTCCAATCCCCATTTGGTAGCGTCAAACCCAGTTATTACCTTCTTATCCTCATACGCAGCCTTACTCTTGTTCATGTCCACACCGGGCGATGCGTTAGCATACTCAGGAGCCTTTGAAGATAAACAGTGGGTTAAAAAAATAAAACTAGAGAGAGCTTCTTTGACCTATAAACAAACTTACCGGAGAAGACGATGATGCCTCAGCTGGCACGGGGTCTGGGGCATTCAGGCAAGCCTGGATAAGATTCTTGCCTTCGGGCTTGGTCACAATAGGTTGTAGCTTTACTGTCGTGAACGTGTAGACAAGACCCGTCTCAGAGACAACAAGTAGCAAAACTTGAGTGCCTGTAAGTGTGCTAAGTTCATAAGCCTACAATGTAAATTTGAAACAAACACAGTGTCAATACAAAAAAGATTCATTGATTGTCCTGCCCATTCGCGAAAAAAAAAAAAGCAAGAGGCAGCCAGCGGGAAAGGACCATTACAGCTGTATAAAGTTTTCCATGCTTTGTTTTCAAAAAGAGTAAGAGAATTACCTTTTTCATAATGCCAGCCTTGCGTTTCGAAAAGGTAATGTGGCGACGATTCTTATCCTCAATGTATTCGATTTTAATTTTGCGACGACCTGAGCGTCTGGAAGGCTTCTCAACGTCCGAGTCATCAATGGAACCATCGTCATCCGCGGGTTGCTTTTGTTGTAAAGGCTGCTGGTGTTGTTGTTGAACTGCTGCTGCTGCTTGAGCTGCTGCTGCTGCGCTGCTTGGCAAATCCGGGTTCATTTCCTTAATTGTTGGTTTGGTTACCAAATCTAGAGGGTTCACTCTTTTATGGCAAGGTGAAAAGGGTTTCTTTGAAAGCGTGACTTTTAAAATGCAGCCAATCACTTTGATTGTTCGTTTCATGTCGGATCAGAACATATCTGCGCCACTTCCAATCATATGTGATTTCGATCTCTGATGTGAAAGGTCGTCCTTTCACCATCAATCCCCCCCGCAATCCTATTTAGTCATTCAATTCTGCTGTTGCCACCATTGCATCGATCCCTTCAGTGAATTTTATAGCTCTCCGGTGCTCATTAGCATCATACACACGCCGCATCGCTTGGATACTTGAAAAACTGAAACTAGTGATATCATAATCATCGTACTATTTAGCTACGTTGTTTGCAGCCTCATGATATTTTGGGGAATTCCCCATTAATTAGCTCTTTACAAATCCAGTATAACGTCTTGATAGTTTCAAGCATTTGGATCTTTGTTCCTTTGCGCATTGTGGAGGTTCTAAAGAAACCTTACCCGGGACGCGACATTGGTAGTGGATAGCCTGATTTATTACCGAGAATTTGCCTCGTAACTTGCCTGGACTGGACACTTGTGTGTGGTATTATCACGGTCTTGGGTGGGTTAAAAAAATAATGGTACGAAATCCACAAAACCGACATGCATTTTGGGAACAAGAAGCGGCTAGCGCGGCAATTACTTAACGAGGTAGTCATTCCTTTTATGATTACTCTGGATACTGCAGACATTAGCCAGTAGTTTCTCAACAACTTTTCAACAACGTATCTTGACTATTTGTACGCTTTTACTGATATATGATGGCTATGCATTTCCTATTATCAATACTGATGACGGTGCTTCTGGATGATGGCAGTTGCTGGCGGCGTGTTCGGTGCGTGCTGTGGATTAATTGGTGGCTTGCTTACACATAACCCACCACACAACCCAACCAATTTCGTATAATCCACCACATAAGCCACATAACACAATCGAATAATAGATGGGGGAATCGAGTGGTTAGTTGGCTGCCAACCTTTTCTTTTTACCACACTTTGCAAGCTTCCGTGATTCTTTTTGATAAAGTGTCTTCCTGCAAAAACCTGTGGAAATTAACCTTACTCTCTGCCACTGCCCACAATTGTTTTATTAAATTAAGCTCAGGAGAGTAAGTAGCAAGATACACATATTTACAACACGGTGCTCAATGTATTTCTTTATGTTGACATTCGTGTGAATTGGGTGCGTTATCCATAACTATAGTGACCTTTCATGTGTGGATGTTTATCCATTTGATCAAGAGTCGTTTCAAGAAACTAATGTAGTGGCCTGTTACAGTCCCTGAGTTTATATAGCCATCGGCCTTTCGCTTCTTGGCAGGCCGATCGTGATCAAATCTGAGGCAGAGATAGTGCCCCAATATAGACGTTGTGTTTGGTTTCGTAATAGCCCTGGTAACAATAGCAAGGGTACCTTTTTTGGACCAAGATTTTGAACGTTTCATGTTAATATCAGAAGCAGATTCGTCAAGAAACACGCAATCCGTCAGCAAGTTCATGTCTGTAGTTTCCCACTTACAAACACAAACATGTCGTTCCTCAGCCTTTGTTCGACGGTTTCTCTCACTAAGTAGAGTGAAAATATGCTTTTTTCAACGAAAGGTTACATTCACTTCTCATCAACTTATAAACAGTGCTGCTTGAGACTTTAAGATCATAAAATCGCTTCAATAAATGCTCGATCACGTCAACAACACCAGCAGAGGAATAGCATTAATGATGTTGATAGCAGTTGCTTTATGCTCTCCGGTTAAGATGCATGCACGACCCATGTTCTTACAGCTCTCATAAATACTATCAGGCCACACATTATACTGTCTGACCCATCCCTGAGCAGTTCGAATGTGAATGCCCAACTGCTTCGCTGCTGCTGATGCGCTCATACACTTTTCAAATCCTCAGATAGAAAGATCTATCCTTATCCTGCACGGTATTACGCACATAATCACGCTTCACGTTGGCCTCCTTCATATGAATGTCTTCATCTTTTGGCTTTTCTCGAATTCCATTTCTGAAAATGCGAAATTGATTTTGATTAATCAGCGACATAATTTTGACTTGTCAGCGACATCAATTTTAATTGGCTGCGACATTGGACTGTATACATATCAAAGAACTGCTGTTGCATCCATATGCATCATACATATCAAGAAGGTGGGGGGCGTACATGATGCCTATATCAGGGCACAGACGGTTCTGCCAGCTTTTAATTTTCTGCTGTCACGATACTACTGCCTTTGTGTAGTACCAGTAGAAAGATCTTATGTTATGCAAGACAGTCATGCATGGCAACAGTTGGTTTGGTTGATCGGAAATAAAACAAACTGGGTGATGGAAAACTTTGTTTAGCGTTTTCTCTCTTCTAACTGAGTCACGTAATAATCATTCATATCACATGCATGCAGTAGCTGGCTGAGAAGAAAGTAGGACACGGACGTCGTTAAAGTTAAAGCTGAGCTGTCGATGCGTAAGTAGCAACAAAAACACATTATAGCTATTACTTATTCGATGTACTGATGAATCAGTCCACTTTTTGCTCCTCCTCACATCTTTTCCTCCGAAATGATTGCAACCCTCCAATGCAAATATTAATCAGCTTGTGCAACGGTTGAGTTCGCGCACAGTATAACAAGACACGCCAAGAAGTGTATTCATCTTGTCTTCGCTCTTCAAACGCGCTTCTTTTCAAGTTAGATCCAGCATGGGCAGAACGAGGGGTAGAGCTAAGTTGGGAGGTGCAGGGGGTGAGAAGGTGGTTCTCTCTACATTGGAACAACGAAAGAAAGAACGCACCGACCCGGATTTACGGATATCGAAACTCAGCTGCCAACCGCAGGCAACAAAAAGCTAAAAGTTTCCAGCAGACCGGCTAACCCTGCGTGTACCTGATGTCTCAAAAAAAACACACTAATACAGTACAGTTCACCGTCAGCTTCTCACGCACAAGGCCCCATTACTCTTCTCCCCCGAGAAGCTGAGCTGATTCGGGGTTAGACCATTCGTAGTCGGGCTTGATTGAGGGACAAGAAAGAAACATACCTGAGATTGCGTAAACTAAGCAAAGCCTGCTGAGCTTTGATCTCTATCTCTCTCTCTCTCTCTGGAGCTTAATTAGCGTGTGTCAAAAGAGAGTGTTGCAAGGATATCGATCAACTATCCGATCACTAACTGCTGACACAAGGTCGCTCTCAGAATGGTTTACTATACTGACCCCATCCTTCGCTCTTTTTTCTCTCTCTAGGTTGCACCTGTACTATACCTCGTTGTTGCCACATGTACGTGCTCTATCCACATTTTCGTCTCGTCCCCGAGATGTAAGGCTCATAGTTTATTATTAGCACGTATATCCGAATAAGTCCCTTTTTTCCTTTTTTCTATAATGCAGGATGCATAATTTTTTTGGAATCTGTAAAGAATCATCATCCACTTGAGAAACAAACAATCTGGGTAATCCCATCTTTTTTATGATAAGTACATTTGTAGGGTGATAAATTTTCAGACTTCATTGTTAAACAAATCAAGTTAATATGTTACATTCTTTGTAGATCACTTTTTTTGTTACATTGCCGACCTTCGCGTCGGGTTTTGAACGACAAAAAAAGATAGCCGATGGGTACACGATCTTATTTCGGTAATAAAAAAAAAAAGAAGACGGGTGTGTGCGGGCGTGAGCACGGACGGGAAAGGGGTGGCTCTAGTTACTTTTATATATTCCCACGTCTGCGATTCGCTGTACAACATGTTCATATCTGGGTTGTACGCTGAGCCATCGTTTTGTTGTTTCAAGATAACATGGCAACTTACGGTAATAATTAATTAGAACAAATTATAGAAACTATTACTAAGCTAGAAGGAGCGCCATCATAAGAGCTACAAATTTGCTGAATAACGACTTTTCTACATGTAGAATTCACCATTGTTAAGCTTCGGGGTTTTGGAATACGTGAAAGAGAGGACACGTACCACAAAAACAGCATCAATTCACTATTCATAATCCCCTTTGGTGGCATTTACTCAACACGGAGTTCTCTACGGTGTAAACCATTTATCCGAACCTTTTATTTTTGACAGAAAACAATCAAGTTGTTACTACATAGCCCCTAAAGCTATATAGTGATAGATCGTTCGTCTCCATAGTAGCTAGTAATATAGAGATTGACGGAGAGCTAACAATCTGTTGAGCGTATAATGCTAGTTACGACTGTTGAATGCTACTGCTGTTGTAGCTGCACCTTCAGTTATTTTCGTCCCCCCAAAAAAAATAACGCGGCTCATTATTGTAGCGCAGTAATAATTTACAAAAGGTCGTACCAAACATGCACAAGGAGCACCAATGTTTGTGACACACTTTTTGCGTCGGTTGATCTTCTGTGTTACCTTTATAGCTTATATTCAAACGCAATATCAATGGCAGAACCTAATCGTGGATCCCAATAATAGTCAAATTATCTTTCCTCGCTATCTCTTTTTTATTGATAGCAACGAATAAGAGGGTATGACCGTGAAGAAAAAATATATTTAGAGACCTTGTTGCATATGTAGGTTAAAAATGATAAGAGACAGAGGAGAGCATGGACGTGGAAAACGGATATGACTTACCTTGTATTCTTCCGTAAGGGTAAAAGACACGGACGAACTCTAAGACTAACGACTATCCCTCTCACAGAAATGGGATTATTTTGCAGCGAAGTTGGATTTGTGCCATTCTGTCAGGGAGCAGGCAGGTATGTACAGAATAGTGACGCGAAAGATAGAGAAACGTCTAGTTTGGATAGTAATGCAGAGCAAGTGAAGTGCGGCCTATAATCCAGTTTCTAATTTGTTATATGCATCCAGACTTATCGTTGGACGAAAGGGAGGTTACGCATGCGTAAAGATGCAGGGTTAATATCTAACAGCAGCAGCAGTACATAGTAGTGAAAAAAGTAGCTAGTAGCAGTTATGGGCCTTATTCTATATGACAGGTTTGTATCACCGATCGATCGACTGCATGCTTATATACCCTGGCCAGGGTATTTTTTTGCCGACAACTTAAGTAGTCATTAACTAATCCCTATTTGCCAAGTACTTGGAATGCGCGTTCAAGCTGTTCCTTTCTTCGTTTTATTAACTGCGACTCATCGAAATGTGTTCCGTTAAGAAGAGTTATTACTTATTATATATCATCCTCGTGCATTTTCTACTCCTGCTTATGATGCAGCAGCGTTTCCTCTAAACCACTTTACCTGTCTGCCCTCTCCTCTCGTCTCCTCTCATCTCGGCAAGTAATATGCGAGACTTTGTTAAACAGAAACATGATCCTATCAGTTCCTTGACCGATATTCTACGGGTTGAATTACAGTAAAAGCTGTTAAAGAACCTCTCACCGTCTGTCTCCCACTCGCTATGCATGCAGCCACGTCAATACATGTATTTCAGAATTGAAATGAAAAGGATAGACTAAACTCTGCTGTTGCTTCGGTTGTAGCTGACGGGATCCACAGCTAGCACGGGTTGCTTGCTTAATTTAGCATTTTGAGGTATATAAAAAGCGCATGTAATTCGTTGGTCACGGATCATAATAAATATATCAAAAGCCAAGTTGAAGTCCGAAAAAAACGTAGCGCGAGTAGAGAATGAATAAATGAAGCAGGTTTATTATCATTTTTCTTGTCGTTGACTCGAGAGGGGGAGGGGCAAGACAAGGGCTTTTATCGGGAGGTGAGCTATACGCATTACATCAATAGTGGGATTGAAGAGCCCAGAATGACTTGTAAAATATATCATGAAGAGCAAATACTAAGATTAATGACTGCTTCATTTCAATGATACCTCTGGTCTGTCGAACTAGCATGTATATTAACATGCATCAACACGCGCATATACCTAGCACGTGTATCTCCATACACGGTTATTATTATTGCTATATATTATACTCAAGAATAAGCACCGATCCAGTAGGCGGCTACAGGAAGAAATGGTGTGTGGAACAGAATATTTTTTACACCCCTTTACAATGGTGCATAAGGGAGTGGGGCAAGAAAAAGCCACGGAACCTTTATTAGCACTTCATCACTTGGTTTCTGCAACAAAAAAAGATTGTTTTAAATATACGAGTTGATTTTTGGTTCTTGGTATTAAAGAAGGCGACAATCAACGTTTGTAGACTATAGCTACTCGATTTTCTTTGGATCTGAATGCCGTATGTATGGTGGCCTAAACCAACAAGCTATGCTTTAGCGCGTGCTACACAACTACGGCAAATTCATCTAATGTGATACGTATATTTACGAGTCATACGACGCGTTGTTGCTATGTGCACGTACATTTCTTACACAAACCCACACTTGCGGTTTTTTAAACGTGCTACACATTTGTCAGCAGTACCGCTTTACTATATCGTTCGCTATGTAGTTAGTCTGTCTCACTGGAGTTTTTCTTTGATGCTTAGATTGCTTTTGGATAGTTTGCGTGTCTTACCATGGGTAGTTTTACGGGTGTTCATGTAGTAGAAGGCAGTTAATTGTATGCAAAGTCTCGATGGAGATACATGCTGGATGTGCAAAATGGTCTTTTTATGGCGTGCACTTGCTCCAGAGACTCAAGGAGAATGCTGCTTAGTGCATTGATCAAGCTCAATGTGGATACGAGCACAGCACATCCCATCATCTTATTACATGTCATCCTACTACTACTGAAGAGCTCTTTCTTGACATCAAGAGAAACTCGATGACGGGGAATAAGAAAAAGTCCGGGGAGTTAAACCAAAAGTTGCCGAGAAGCAATTTGCACAACAACAACTGTTCAATTCTACGTAATTTTCATCGTCTAAATTCTTAGGTAACGAACAATTTAGAAACGGCTTCTCCTACCACCTCCTTTTCTACCTCTGAGAAGAAGATGGGAAGCAGGCTGAAGTTAACGAATGTTCTTGGAAAGTAAAAAACCAAAAATGATCCTCAAAGTATAAACACATACCAGCAGTGGCTGAAAGTAAACTTTCTTTTAATCGTGTGTAAGATTTTTACAGCAGCGCACTTAGCAGCAGCAAAATGAAAAAAGGAATAGATGGGGGGAGGGGTAGCAGAATAAAGCCGCAAAAAGAAAGCGAAAGAATAATCACGTATATATGGCACATATGCTACATATCCCGATTACCATACTCCTGGGGCAAGCATCTGTATCGACCTCAATCCTTTATTTGCGAATGCATCTCTCCTTTCTTTTTTCGCTATCGTGACCCCTTCCTCTCTCTCTCTCTCTTTCATCCCGAAGACGACAGGCATACAGTAATGTGAGGAGGATGTGTGCTGTATCCATGTGAGTGAGAAACGATCGATCATTAAGGCCGTACATTACAAACAATTTATGTAAATTTACTGGAATGATGGTTTCACTACATGTTAAACCCTTTTCCGCAAAATATGCAGCATCATGCGAGGTTGCTCACTGTCTGCAAAAACACCAAAAATGATCGGTCACCATGCCCCCCCCCGTGTTATATTTCTTATGTCCCACTTATACATACCTTATAATAAGCCTATAAGAGAGAGTTACTTACTAGTCATTACTACTAGTTAGTCGCTCGGCGAGACGTGCGCGAAGGGGATTCGACGCGCGCCCGCAAAAAGTCATGACAACATTGCTCATCTGCTTTTAGTTACCGCGCCCATTTGTTCTCTATTGTATCATATCCTATCCCATCTTTTGTGACTCCTTCCTCGATATCATGGGTTCACTAAAGAGACAGTGCCCCTCTTGGTCTTCTGTAATTCCTATATAGAACACCATCACTATAACATACTTTAAACATTTCTCCCCTCCCCCCACCAGAAAAGAAGGGAGAAGCTCATAGATCTGATCATCCGTGGATGTAAAAATGACAAGTGTGGCTGTTATTGTTTTTTGTGCTCTATTGCTAAGTCGTAACAGCAAAGGGTGTAAAGGGGGTGGGGGGGGGTATCTTTGTTCCAAACTTTTGGTGAAATGACAGGAAAGAAAATAAGGGAAATGAAATGGTCATATGTAATCGAGTAGCAAGTAGTGATGATGGATAGTAATAGTAATAGTAGTAGTAGTAATAGTAGTGGTAGAAAGAAATAAAAACCATAAATAGCAATGGAAAAAATGTTCCCAGACAAAAAAAGGATCATGGAAAATGATTTGATGCCTATTAGTTAAGATATGTATAGTATAAATGTCGTTGTTGTTGATTTGGTAAATGCGTGATTGTTGGTTGTGTGTGTAATAATGGTCGTAAGGTCGTGAAAATGTGCATGACGATGAGTGCTCAAAATAAAATCCCTGCTTTCCCCACCCCCACTTTTTGTGTGTGATTATACTGTGTATATGTGATAGTGTGTGAGTGCTCTCTCTCTCTATAGATGACAGATTATTGTATGTGGTGTGTGTGTGTGTGTGTGTGTGCAAAGAATGAAAAATATGTATTCATCAGGACGCGCCATTGTCCTCATTATTCTGACGATGATGCTGATGCTGATGATGAAGATGAAGATGATGTGTTGGATCTTGATGCGGATGGTTGATATGATGAGGATGATGAGGAGAAGGTTGATGTAGCCACGGTCGATCTGTGGTGATAGCTGCTGCAGGAGAAGGAATAGACGAGCTACTACTAGATACATGTGCAAAGTAGTCATCAGTCATCATGGATGGTTGGATAGACGGATTGCTACTACTGCTCGTGCTGCCGGTGCTGCTGCTAGGTTCTAGAGGTGTCGCACTACTGCTACTACTGGACGGTAAGAATGTGGTAGGCGATGCAGTTGACGGTTGCGTGGTCGTTGTTCTCCGGACTATCGGAGGTAACTGTAGAGATTGTGTGAACAGCGATTGCGGCGGCGGCGGGTTGCCCTCGGTCGTGTTTCCATAGTTGCCCTCCACATCCTTTTGTTGTTGTTGTGGGGATAGCAGTAAGTTTTGCATCGACATGGCATGCATGGAGTAGGACGCATCGGTGGTCGACGACGACGATGATGCGTATGCAGGCACTGTGGGTTGTTGTTGTTGTGGAGGCGGAGGGGGCGGTAAGGCAGGCACTGCAGACGCAGGTGACGATAATGATGGATGGTGCTGGTGCTGTTGTTGTTGTTGCAAGTACGGAATTGGCGTAGCAGGTTCGACTTGGTGTGCAGGCAAACGGAATCGCGATGAAGACGATCCTTCACCGGGATCATGAACAATGAATGGCGAAACTCGATCGTCATCGTCGTCGTGTTCGTCCTCAGTTTTCCGTCTTTTTCTAAACGTAGAGCAACGAACAACGATCCCCCCGTTATATAAGAGTTAAAATATAAGGGTTAGCATTGGGACCAACTTTATGATTAATTGAAACTTACGCGTTTGTGGATGTGCGCGTCTCCTTTCGAATGCGAATACGGACGCCTTGATCCGAAAAGCATCGGGTCAGAAATGTAGATTCTGTGCGTTTATACATGAGAGTTGGATTAAGGCATGCATTAAATTTTATCTTGGGGGAGGGGTATTCAGAGAAAAGAAAACTTTGTATTCTTTATCAACGTACCTGACATGCCCGGAAATGCTGCAAACAACGTACATGCATCAAAGACATATTCAACCCAATGAGCATACCATTTTTTTAATACTGACCGAAATAAACGATAAAACTTACTTTTTGGTGAATAAACTTGGAATGGGTTCGAGAACACTGAGCATATGCGGAATACGTGGGATCTAGATGTACGGAGGTGCAAAAAAGTCAGTGGTACAGTATAAGTTGCTATTCGATACTGTATCCCAGTTGTCTTCCTAGCACGCGGGGAGGAAGAGGAGGAACATATATGTGCCACACACGCGAGCAAGCATGTACACAACAGCAACACAAGTAAAAGAGAAAGTAAGAAACGTACTCTTCTATCTTGAACAGAGTGAACTTGAGCTTAAAGAACCCTTCATGGCGAACGCTTATATCGGCAAAGATGAAAAAGCCGCCGTCTGTGTTGTTATGTACATAGATGCTTGAAATGAGACAGACACCAGGAATGAAGCCATACTAACAGACGCTAACCTACCTCTATTATCGACATCTTTAAGTTTGTGCAGCGATTGCACAACAGAACCCGCAGTCGTCCGTGTGCTATTCGCGAAATGCAGGTCTTCCCCCGTTGTTGTTGCTAGTGTCGCGTAGAGAAAAAAGTATGGGTTCTGAAGGCAGGCTGAACTATATCCAATTGAAACAGAAATAAAAAGATTTGCAATCTTGACTCGGCTCAGGGCTTCTTTTTTTACTTCGCCACGTAGTAGAATTGGAGGTAAAAAAAGCTCAAAACACAAAAGAAAAGAAATGAAATTTGCTTACTCGTTATCTCGATCAATCAACTGTACAATGGGAGGCGGATCAACAGGTCGTCGATCGACTAACCAATAGAAACACGACGAGTTCATGTAAGAAGCCAAGCATAATAAACGAAGGATGTGCGTGATTGGAAAAAAGGATTTGTTTCTTTCACCTTTTTCTTTAAAGCTACATAATCGTGCCTTGACGGGCTGCTGGCGTACAACGAGCTGAATGCGGCTAAAATTATCATTATTTTTGATTCATTTTTTTTTTTTGGTTCAGTTTCGAGCAAGTAAACAAAGACGTAGAAGAACAAGAGCGAGCGCAGCACTAACTTTCCCTCGGTAATGTCAGAATGCGATCGTGGTTGGGATGTCGACATGACGCGATAATGAGCGAGCGGGATAAGTTTCTGCAGTTTTTGGAGTGTATTTTTTCCAGAAAAAAAAAAGAGTGTGAGAAGGAGTAAGAAAAAAAAAGTTTTATGACATGTAAGAAAAAAAAGATATAGAAAGGAACAAGAAAGAAAAAGAAAGAGAGAAGGAAAAGAGAGAGAGAGAGAGAAGAGAAGAAGAGAGGGGCAGGAAAAGTACCTGTGCGTTCTATATATATATGCCTATTTGAGTTCAACCATGCGTACGGCACACAGCACACACACGCACTAACTCATCCACACACACCCATTCACAATTCATATTAGTGGTGCCCAGCGAGTCCAGCACATACATAATCCAAGCTCTTTCTTCTTTAAATGGTCGCACCCACATTTACATCGCCCAATTAAGAAACAAGCTTTTTGTTACAGTACCTTGCCCAAACTGCTGCCATGTATACCAAGCCATCCTGCCATTCTAACAGCATGCCCGAGTTCTTGGGATTTTCTATCTTGTTTACCACTATGCTGAACCGCTCTATTTGTGTCTCGTATACGTCCCTGCTATATGACAAAGTAGTAGCAATAGTAGTAGAAGTCATTATTATAGATGGCTAGCACCGACATTACCCGTTGTTGGCCCTGAAGATAACATAATGTCTAGGGGGGGAGAGCGAGAGTAAACTAATGATGGTTGGGGGGACGGAGAGAGGAGGACTAGTGAAGGCTTGTTTCAGCTGGCTGTTCCAGAAGAATAAAAGGGCTCTAACATGCCCATGGCTTCTTAGTCTATTCGCCTTGTCTCTTCTCCAAAGTCCTATGGCCTCTCCTAGGTCTCCTGGTTCCTCCCCCAAGGAAATACAGATCATCCGACATAACGGCAGCAGCAGGCAATAGCATCCATATTCAGGAATGCGATCCAATCATTCGGATTCCGATATTCCTAGCATCAAACACCTTCTCCCCCCCAAAGTCCCTTACCACAACTTCAAGTAGGACGAAGACACTTGTCAAGTGGCTGTTATTGGATAGCGTTATGCATATCATCATCGCTGAGCTTTTTTTCTTCCTTGTGCGCTCTGAACGGGGAATGGGGTTTTTTTTGCCCTTAACAAATCTCTTTTACACACACCACATCATCATCCATCACCAATCATCATCATTCAGACACACACACACACACACGCAGCATCACTATAGCCCCGCTCTCCTAGCCCCTTGGCTTCCCCCCCTTTGTTTCTTCTTGTTGCGACATGTGCGTGTGTGCGTGTGTGGTCCCCAAGATAGATACATATTGAGTAACGTACCATGAGTTGTTTGCATTTTTGGTTGGAATGGGAAACGGGATGATCCAAAACTACGGCTCACGGGCCTGAAACAGCGGTTTTGCGGAGTGTATGTAACATGCACATGCAGAAGTTTTTTTTTCTTTTTCCTCAACTTGGCATCTCCCCCTCTCATCTCAACTCTTGGATTATTTTAATACCTCTGTATTAAGCCCACCTTTTTATTCTTATATTCCATATTTCTTTCTTACTCCTCTTTTGCTGATGCTTGATTCCTCCACCCCCGCTTTTTTTTTTGTGTCTGTGCGCCCATGTTACAGTAACCAAGCAATTTGAATCCTTATGGCAATGGGTTGCTAGGTTTCCAAACGCGTGTTGCTATTCAGTTGCTATAGTGTTGCTATGACTATCTACTGGCAAATGTTGGACTTTTAAACAACCACCTCTACTATGTGCTCTAAAATCGCGTCATTTCCAGCGATTCGGATAAATAAAGCATACAAAAATCAGGGCGCGTCTTTTGCCGAATGATGTAAACGTCCACTTTTTTTGCGCGGAATCTTCGGCTGAATTCCCGCCCGACAATAACAAGTCCAAGCTGTGTTTTTATTATTATTATTTATTACGCTTTCAAAAGACTCTATTTCTTTTCTTTTCTCTTTTCTCCATTTATCACTCGTTTAAATATGCGTTTTGCTACTTCTTTAATCGGTACCGCCCGTTCTGCTGCCAAGTCGACCACTCAGTTCCAGGTACATAATAGTCCCGAAAAATAAGCAAGGGGGGGGAGGATTGTATGCGTGCCGGAACAAAAACAATTACCGATTCCCGAGACGCGTCATGAATGTTGACATTTTTACATTCCTCCATTTATAATGGTCCCATAGGCACGTCCTTACGCCACACAGTCTGGCAAGAAGAGTGGTGGTAATGGTCTTGTTTTGACTGCTTTGGCCGGTCTCGGCGTTGCTGGTGGTATCTATTATAACCAGAATCAAGCTACTGTAGCTCCCGCTGCCGTCGCAGCAGCTGCTGTTCCTGCTTCGCCTGCCTTTGACCCCAGCCAGTTCAAGGGTTTCAAGGTACAAAAATACTGGAGAAAACTTTGGATAGAACATTGGAAAAAGTGCAAAGGAAAACAGAAACTGACTGACTGGAATTGTGGATAAATCGTGCTTTTTCCAGTTGCAAAAAATCGAAAAGATCAACCACAACACCAGCTTATACCGTTTCGATCTCGACTCTGAGAACCATGTTGCCGAATTGCCCGTTGCTTCATGCGTCATTACCCGCAAGCCAATTACTAAGAAGGATGGCTCCCCTGGTTTCATTATCCGCCCTTACACGCCTACCTCGGCCGATGATGTAATTTTTTTTCTCTGATTGCGCCATTTGTTTCGTTATCCAAGCTAAGACCAAATCGTTGTTATCTATTTAGACCAAGGGCTATGTTGACTTTATTGTCAAGGAATACCCTGAGGGTAAGATGAGCAAGCACATTGCTAACCTCAAGGTCGGCGACACTTTGGAGATGAAGGGTCCCATTCCCAAGTACAACTGGACCGAAGGTCGTGTTGACAACGTTGCCATGATTGCTGGTGGCACTGGTATCACCCCCATGGTTAGTGATTTTTCTAGTTGCTTGTACTGCATCACATGCGGTGTGGAAATCTGATAAGAAAAACTGATTATTTATCATTATCATCATTAATATTATTATCATTAGCTTCAAGTCATCCGCAAGGTCTTTGACAAGAAGTCCAACGATGACAAGACCAAGATTACCTTGATTTTTGCCAACCAGACCGAGGAAGATATTTTGCTCAAGGAAGAATTGGATACTTATGCCAAGGAGTACCCCGAGCGCTTCCAGGTCGTTTATGCCTTGGACCGTCCTCCTAAGGAATGGTCCGGTATCACTGGCTTCGTCACTGCCGATGCCATCAAGAAATACTTGCCTACTCCCGAGACCGAAAGCCTCAAGGTCTTCGTCTGTGGTCCCGACCCCATGGTTGCTTCTCTCGCTGGCCCTAAGGCCAAGGATAAGTCCCAGGGCGAGGTTAGCGGTATTTTGAAGGAGTAAGTTTTATTATGTGTTTGGATTTTATACATTACTGACTGTGAAAAAAACATTACCTGTGTATATTATTGACGATCTTCTGTTTACTTGTATCTATAGGCTTGGCTATGGTCAAGACAAGGTTTACAAGTTCTAAACTGGCTATCTCCTCCATTCCTAAAACTATAATCGCTGTAACATATAAAATATAAAGCTGTTATAAAAAGTTTATATATTGTTTGATTTACACAAAGGGTTAAATACAAAAGCACAATAGGTGTAATGGTTTGGGATGTGCGGGTGTAAAAGAGGGCTTTTTTTATAAAAAAAAACAAAGGAAAGGGCTATGTTGTAAGGGTATGATTAAAAGGAAAAGATAGAGTCGCTTGTACTGCAAAAGCGGAGAAGAATATATACTCAATATACTAATACAAACTTGAAAAACAGGACCCAACTCAAAGCTGCAAGGCCAAGATAAATGCCACCATAAATCCAGTTGGCCCATAATTTCTCTTGAACAGCAGACGTGTCGACCTTGTTTTCAGTGGCCTCCAATCGTCTTGCCTCTTGTGCACTGCGGTCAAGCAAAGAGCCATAGATGGTCCAATCAAGAACGCACAAGACTAATCCAGCAAACACGGCAAAGATACCGATAATGATGAAAAAGTCAATCACGCCGCTGTAGCCTTGATGTGCATCCTTGTCTTGCAACAAGCCGGTAGCGATATCAAATAGAGAGGCACCAATGTTTGTGCCTGACTTGATCAGGCCCATGCCCGTGCCAACAAGTGACAGTGGAAGAATGACGGGGACTGAAGACACAAGACCTACGGGGCCCAGGGCCAAACTGACGCTGAAAAGAAGCATGCCAATGATAGGGTTCAAATAGGTAAAACCTAATAGCATAAAGCATGCTAAGAAGGTGATACCGCTTGCGAGCACTTTATGAAAAAAATGGATTATTCGTTAAGATGGGAAAAAATGACAGTTCTTTCTTTTTGATATCATAGTAATGCAATAAAAGTTGATATACGTACTCATCCATGTACGTTTGCCAAATCGGTCGACACAGATACCCAGCAAAGGCATCAAAAAGATAGGCAGGAGTTGTGCAACGCTAGCTGTAGCAGCAGCCTTTGCATTATCGTAGCCAAATTTGAGCTTGACAAACTCGCTACATGAATTAAATGTTTGTTATGCGTGAGTGAAAAGAAAGAGGAGTCATAGGCCTTTTAGTTAGAGCTTTACCTGTTGATATGCAAGAAACATCCCCAAGCACCCCCTAATAAGAACTCCATGATAGCAATAAGCCAATAAGCATGAGGCAAGTACAAGAGCTTAGACCAGCTGAATGTTTTCTTGCGGCGAAGCGCTTGAGCACCTTGTTGGCATGTGCCTGAAATGATGGATCGCATGAGCATTATGTAGACCAAATTGATCACGAGCGAAAAGACGCACAAAATTGCAGAGAACTGTATAGAGTAAGAGTCATAATATATGTATTAAATTAGCAAACAAAGTATGTAGCGCAAATCATCAATCAATCAATCAATCTTTTGACGGCAAGCATTTATCAATTAGCTTATAATAAGGATAAAGGGAGGGAAAGGGCAAGGAGCGAGTAAAACCGCCACAATAGTTGTCTCGAGCGAGAAATATAGAGGAGGAAACTTACCCAAAAGCCATAACCGTACCAGCCAGTGAAATTGGCGATCGGAACCACCGTTGCTTGTGCCAGGAAAGAGGCCTATTTGTGCATGGTGAGGTGCATTATTTGTTGTTTTAGAACAGAAGCTGACACGAAAAAGAAAGAAGACAGATGTGCAAGATGATGCAAGCTGTATAAAAAAATACAAATATCATCATTATTTACCAAACGGCTCGTCGTCATCATCAGAGCCACTACACCGGCCAGATTACGACCCTTGAACCATTGGCTCAAGATGGTCTCTTGAACGATCACCACAGTGCCACTACCGATGCCGTACATGATACGTCCAACAATCATGGTTGACAGACTCGCATTGTGGGTGGATGCAGCCACCAAGATGTTTCCAACAGTAATAAGCACAGTGGTCAAGATCGAGCCGGTGCTAGTGCCAAACGCGTCAAGAAAGATGCCGCCTATGACAGGTAAAATTGTGTTTACGATGGATACACTTGACTGGAGCACGCCATATTGTGAGTTGGTGATACCAAACTCCTATTTTTGAGATTGAGCAGAGATAGATAGAAAGATAGATAGATAGATGATGTATCAGATGTTTTTGTTTTGATCAATACACGAACACACGATAAAAGAAGATTGTGAAGGGTTTGATAGAAACGTGCCTCCTTAACGGTTGATTTCATTGCACCGAGCGTATGTGCGGCAAAATGGCTACCCACTACACATATAAACATGTGTGTTGCGTTTTAGAAAAGGATGATGCGTATATATCGTTTACGAGGATCTTCTGATTTGTAGTGGTTGTAAAAGTAGTACTAGTTGTAAAGGATTGTTGTTATTATTTACCAGCCAGAAAAATAGCGCATGTAAGAGCAACTGCTTTGTATTTCCACGGCTGATTCGCTAAATGGCAATAATCGTCATCGCCATTCGAAGCACATTGTTTGCCTTTGGGATCATTTGTTCCTGATGAGCAACAGTAAGGACTAGTACTAGAACAACATGTTTTGGTGGGAAGCAAAGGAGAACGTTCGTCGTCGTCAACGGCCGTCTTATTATCGCTGTAGAAGGACATGTTGTTGATGACGCATTAAAAAGCTGTAGAAAGAAAAAATAGCTGAAGAAAGAAGAATAAAAAAGTAAAAGAGACAAGGTTTATATAACGACTTTCATTATTATTATATTTAGTAAATTTGCATGTACACTGGGTACAGTATAAATAAAATAAGTGTGCAGAATAAGTGTACAGTAACGAAAAAAAAAACTCATTACTATATCACGCGCACGATGAGGGGTCCCTATCTCTTCTTATTATATATACCATCGTTTCTTTCGTATTTCATTCCTTCTGCTGACGGGAAATACGTAGAATGGTGCGCAAAAGTATAACCTATCAACATCGATCTGATAAAGTATCACCAGAAATTTTTCGTAATCAGATAAAAAGAAGGAACACTGTCAAGTCAATTAACCTGCTTCTTCTTCCCCTGATCCTGCCGTCATTGTATGCTATTGCAAGCGGCGATTGTGTATATCAGGAAGTGAGAAATATTACGCCACATGATTCGCTTTAGATGCTAAGTTCTAGCCTACTGTCAGAGACTTGTTGACTATTTGTTTGTTGTTCACTCCACGACAGACAGCAGTAGCATCTCTCTAAATTTCGCTGTGTGGGCGGACATGAGCATCTGTCATTGTGACACACCGGTTTGCTCAACCCCGGTTTTGGTTCTGTTTTGTTGATATGCACTTGCCCTTAGTGCATATACTATATACTATTGTCGTTGGCAAAAAAGATAAAAAAAGAACTACAAGGAACGAGAAAGTGTCTTGTGAAGGTCTATTTCGCAATCAGCCGATCCTGTGCCACGATAAAGCCCGATCACTTCGCACCCATGAAAGTGCAACAACTGAATGATACCATATGGGCACATCGTCATCCCGTATCGTATCACCTGAGTTCCAGCGAGAGTGCAATGAGCAACAGCCTAGTCTTTTTGCGCCATGAGGAGGTGTAGCTCACAACTGCATACTGTGGATATGTATAATTAAACCTGCCGTATACCTGCATCACTATTCGTCCCAACAATCGGTTAGATTGGGCTGCCTGCCCTGCTTTCGGAGAACACACAGAGTGGTCGGAAGTCAAAAGCCGACGTGCCCGCCGCGCTGCAACTTTTGGGGACATATAAAAGAAAAAGGAAAAGCTTAATTATTCCATTTGCGATTTAATAATGCCTCAAGGTATAAAGCCATTCCTTCCGTGACAACATATATACTCTTTAAAAATAATCTTCAACTTCATTTATATATATAATGTAGTTGCATATACGAAATCGCCAGAACAATTGGCGGCAGCTTCAAAAGCTGGCAATGCTAGTCGACCACGTGAATTTAGTTCAGCCAGTCAACTCATCCTTTTCTTTTACTTGCTTGGCTACAACAATGTCAGTTTTATGGGCTGGTTCTGGGTCATGTATGGAACCTTCTTCAGAATTGCAATAACCCGCTTTCAATTTCATGACGTCCATGAAGTGGTTTGGGACGCCTTGATCATTATTCAGTCCAGTGCTTTTATCGAGATTATCAACTCTGCTTTTGGTAAGTTTGTTTTCTCAAAAATCCCTCCTTTCCCTTTGCTTTTCTGGCGGGAATGTGCATGTTCACGCACTTTGGCGTCCCTGTAAAAGAAATCGATCCAAATCAACTAAATATACATATTTATTTTTTTAAGGATTCGTACGCGCACCTGTTATGACCACGGCTATGCAGGTTGCATCCCGATTGTTCTTGGTCTGGGGCGTCAACTATATCTTTCCCGAAGTTCAATCACATTGGGCTTTTAGCACCATGATGATCGCGTGGTCCGTCACCGAGTGTATCCGTTATTCGTACTATACCTTGAACCTCATTGGTCAAGTCCCCAAGTTTTTGACCTGGGCACGCTATAACTTCTTTTTGGTGTTGTATCCATTGGGCGTAGGATCCGAGTTAATGATGGTTTATCAAGCATTGCCGTATGCTTACGAATGGAACCCTTACTACTACTACTTCATGATCGTTGTTGCTCTCGTCTATCTTCCAGGTATGAATAATCGTAATCGTTGTAAATTGGGTGGGATCACCAATAAGAGTCTTTTTAAGGGTGATAGCTCATAATGGTTGCTTTGGGAATTTACTGATCGACATATTATTTGTTTAGGTTTCCCTGTTTTATTCATGCATATGCTTGCGCAACGTAAAAAGTATCTCAAGGGCACTTATATGGTTGCCGAAAAGAAGCAGCACAAGGACTAAATAATGCAATAACTACTACAATCTTATGTACAAATAAAGCAATATCTCTTCAAAGAAAGACATCAGCGATGCCCCCACCGGAGATTGCATAGGACGCTTCGTTTTCAGGCATGTCGGGCGAATCATAGATCTTGGCGACTCGTTCCTCACCACGACCCTTGCGCAAGTAGATGCGTGTTGCCGAACTAGATAAAAAAGAGTATTTTGCGGTCAGCCATCTCCCCTTAATACTGCTTTCTTCCCTCGAAAGAACTCAACGAGATGCTACTTACGCGTGCGCCTATAATTGAATTTAAATATATAACAGACGTTCGAGGAAAGTTCATAATGGGCCCCATGATCCTCTCACATCGTTTAATACTAGGAAAGAGAGTTGTTGCTTACCAAAATATGGCCACCGACGGGCTTCTTGGGATCAGAGACAAATGTCATGCCACCTAGATATAAGTTGTACATAGAGTATATTCGCTATGAGCAGCTCCACATGATAAGATATGCCAATACGTGGGGCAATCAGCAAAACACTTTTTACACATTACCACCAGGATCAGATGACACTTGATTGGTAAGGAAAACGGCAACATTGTATTCTTCGGCAATCTTGGTCAGTCTACTGAGCATCTGATTCAACTTTTGCTGTCGCTCGGCTAACTCGCCGCGACCTGCATAATCGCATCTGAACAACGCAATGATTGAGTCCACCACCAAAAGACGATACACGCCCTTCTCTTCGGCAAACTTGGCCGCAACCTCGGTAATCAAATCCATTTGATGGTCGCTGTTCCAGGCGCGCGCAATCAATATATTGTCAAGTGCCACCTCTGGGTCTGCTCCGAATCGTTCGGCGATGGCTCGGATTCGGTCTGGACGGAACGTGCCTTCAGTATCAATATATGCTATTGGTATTCAAAAAAGAAGCCATAAAGATCAATATCCAGCTATCACTGGCCATTCATTTTTGATTGTTGCTGTAAAAGAAAAGAAGAGTACCTGCTTTGCTACTGGCGCCACCACATTCAGGAGGAAGCTGGACTTGCACACACATAGTATGGGCCAGTTGAGTCTTGCCGGTACGATATTCGCCGAACGCTAGTTGTTAAGTTTTTTTTTTTTTTTTCGTCATAAACATGATCAACATCTCTCGCTTTCTCCCTTCCTTGCAGAAACAATGGGAATATATTTACCCTCAGTAATAGACATCGTTTGAATACCTCCTAAAGTTAGAATAATCGCAAGCAGTAATTAATATATGGTTGGAGAAGATTCAAACAGTTATGATGAGCAGAATTGGAGTAGAATGCAGTACCTCCAAGCAAGGAATCAAACTGCTTGCTTCCAGTAGAGATCTTTACCACCTTTTGTCGATGCTGCGACAGCTCTGTTCCGGTCATAAAACCACAACCCTAATCACACAACGATAATATGATATGTTACTCGCTTTCCTTTTCATATTTATGCTTTTCATGTCGCACTTGATAATTCCAGTAGACATATCTTATTCGTTGTCCAATCAATAGTCGCAATTACCTGTGCTTTAGCGGCGGCATCCTTGATTTTGTCAACCTTGGTTTCGGACAATCCCTTGATCTTCAACAGACTCCTTTTGGTCATCATTTGCGCGCCCTATACACGTCATCATCATTCTTTTTATGTCAGCCGATTCTAATACACCCCAAAGTCTTTATATCAACAAAAGAAGGACAATCCAGAACATACCCGGATGGTGCATACGCCGGCACCTTTCAGCTTGTTAATGTCGGCCATGCCAATACCATGAACTTGCAGCTCGTCAATTGTTGTGTAAAACTACAGAGTTTTTAAAGATTAGTGTAGATGGATGTGTCAAAAATAATGTAATTCTGTGCTGTTAAAGAGCACAGCACTTTCTCTTCTTTCTTTGCTCGCTCCCTTCAGGCCTCGGAATACCTGCTCTTCGGCAGCATCAAGTTCTTCATCACTGGAAGAATCATTGGCCGTTTGTTGGTCTTCAGATTGCTGTTTGTTCTTTGGGGGCATGTTTACTTGGAGGGTTTAAAAGGGATTTGAGAGGGAAAAGCGGAAAAGAAAAAGGCGCTGTCAAATTCCTAGTCGCAGTTTTCTCATCAGTTTTTGCTGCGAGCCTTTTGTATCTGTCTGTGAGTATATGTTATCTTTTTTCTTCCTCCGATGGACCGTGCATGATAGAGAGGACAATAGAATGGGAGCTGTGAGAGGACAGAATCGATCGCCAAAATGATTTGTGTCGTTCAATGACGTGGACTTCCTTTAGTATTCTGGCCCTGTCACATACCCACCTATAATAAGCGATTTTGATTAACCTCATGCATTTACTGCTCACTACACTTGTATGAATTTTATTTATGTTTGAAACATGGTATATAGCGATTATTGACTTTATTCGACTCCCAATAAGACCATTCTATTGTTGAGCATTATGCTTTAGGCATTACATCACCGCTTAAACGTCTTTCACTTTGTGTTAACGCTTAGGTTCCAACGCTTCTCCGACTCACCTTCTTAGAGCACCTGCAGCGGTCGCTGTTAAGAACCTGTTATGTTAAATTTAACAGTTTATTTAACAGCCAGACCTTGCAGCGGTTGCTGTTAACGTCCTGTTAAATTTAACAGCCCGAACAAAAACTGTTAAATTTAACAGTTTCTTGAATCGAGAAAAAGGACTTGAAAAATAAAGCTATATCTCACTTCATTCTTTGTTTGTATTCTTCAAATTGAACAACGCTACTTCTAACGCCACTCGCCTGTCTGACGTTTCTGCCGCTGCCCCCTGCTCAGGAGAAAGGGCAAAGCTTTCATTAAAACCAACGACGTGTGAAGTTAACAGCTTCGTAACAGTTAAGCTGTTACGCACTGTTAAGCGGGCTGTTAAACTCTGAAATTTAACAGTTTCGTAACAGCGACCGCTGCAGGTGCTCTATGGGAGCTAGATATAAGTGGCAATCCACTGTATCATATGCGTTACTGTAGACCACCCTATTCTTGTCTATGATAAGCGACGACACTGGCTCGAATTCATAAGTCATATTTTACTCTACAGTACAAGGTTCGCAACTTAAAAAAGAGTTTTCTATGGCGATACTGAAAATATCAGATTCATACTTTGCGCATTACTGCATACTATCACTGTTATCTTTGTATGATTCTGTGGACGCTTGTATTGCTGCAGATAATTCAACTAAATTCACTTTTCTCGTTTATTTTGACAGTTCTCTCTCTCTCTCTCTCTCTCTCCTCGAAGCAGTGTAGTGTGACGGGAAAGAATCTTGACCATCACGTGTACAGTATGGGAATCTCTAAAAGTTCTTCCTTTTCTCTCTTTTCATTTCCAGCTTTCATTGGTCGTGACTCCATCTAAAACTCAAGGAAGTAACAACGGTAAGTATAGCTGGAATGAATATTGTGTCTGTGCTTGCTTATCTGGAAAGTGTAAAGATGTTTGCCATGACGTGTCAAGAGTGCGTATGTCGAGTGCGCAGTAGTTGCTTATGGTCCTATTTTCTTTGAGTGGCAGGCACTGCGGTGGTTGGTTTCTCTCTTTTTCAAAAGAAATGCAAGTTTAGTTGGATCGAACTTGGGTTGGAGGAGGATCATGGTATGTCGTGTCAAAAAGAAAGGGGGCAGCTCCCTGCTGACCTTCTCTTTTATACCAGCTTGCTAGAAGAAGTGTTCTTGCCTTGGCTGCAGATTTTTGTATTTATCGGTGATCAGCTTCCCCACGTCTTGTGCATGAGTATGAGTGAGTACAGTTGGACTTAATCTTAGCGTAAGTGTGTGGTAGTGGTGTAAGTAACAGCTCCTCATGATGTTCATCCTCAATAGGTCAGTAATGTATAGACACCTCCATTGGTGTCCTACTGTGATCCCCTTCATCGAGTCCATTATTAATTCATGCAAGTGACAAGGGGTAGTGGGATTATCATTATTGCTGCAAGAAGCCAACTTGTGAAGCAGCCCATCTACTGTGCTCAATATCTATCCATTTGCCTCAATGATTGCGAGTGCTTCGAATGGACACGGAGGAATTTGTTGGAAGCCTCATCTTCTTCAATTGATTTTTTTGGAGCATCCCCTTCCTATGAATTTCTTTCCGTTGTTTATTGTCCTTGCGCTGTATATTCTATATCAAAAATTACTCGTTCCCATTTCTTTACTCCCTCCCTTTGCATTCTTTGTATTGCCTAGTAGCCCCTGTTCCCTCGGACGTTGCATCGCATCATGCGAACGACAACTCTTCATCCCAGGCACTTTCAGGGAAGAAGCCCTGTCTTTTATTATCATGTACCCCAGCCACGGGTCAAAAGTGCGTTGGTGGTCCCGGTGAATGCGTGGGATGCTTTGCCTAAGTATTCACTATCATTTGTGTGCGCATGGAAGGATTGGGTTTTCCTTTTTCAATGGGATACATATCTTAATAAATTTTCCTTGTTATCAACACACGAGCACTAAGAGTTTTCCGGGAAAGGTCATGATATCTATATTAAATCGAGGCATAGGAAAAATAGATTGATAGCTTGTGAAGAGACTCGTCTCTGTGCTTTATATTTTCATGACGATATTAGTTAAAATAGCAAAGTCTCTCTCACATTGCCATATGTCCCTGTATCATTTACTCACAGCCGCTTTTGGTCAAAGTCCAGCTTTGTTACAAAGGACGTTTCCCCTAAAAATATGTCGAAACAAGCAAAAATACCTCGCATCTGACAATGTACGCAAAAAGAAGAGCGACTGAAAAATTCTTGATGTATCGAGTTAACTACAGTGGTCTCCCGTGTTTTAATTAACCTCAGATAAATTCAACCTCCAGTTGCGTCTATTTTTTTTACGGGATTTGGGTAAAAAAAAGCATATAGTTTCTACATGATACCCACCCTCACTTTTTTCATCTCTCATTAGTTACAACAACCTTCTCAAATCCCCCTTTGAGGTTAATCTTAATGAGGGACCACTGTAATAACAAGTTACCAAGGTTCATTGATAGTCATTCGTAGGTGATCGATTAATGGTGTAATAATGTTAACAGCTATCATATCGATTAACAGCATTTCTGCGCAACGAAGTACCACGTCGCAGATATATAATTGACCATTCACTGCTATTATGCAAGCAGGCAGGAATACCACCATGATAATAAAGCTTTGTCAAATTAAAGGAGAGCAAAATTTACTTGACAAAGCCTATTTGTTTTACTCAGTATACATTCTTAAATGTCGACTGTCGGCAGGAACTGATCAAGTATGTGATCGTTGAGTTCCTCTTTCGTACATAACGCTAATTAAAGGGAGAACGTCCTCATTATGATACATTGAACATTAATGCGAACTTGTAAAGCTCCATGTCTGTGGAACACAAGGGCTTTTTGGATCTTGACTCTTTTTCTGAGTTGCATGACCTCTTCCTTGATGTTACACTTTTTTCCCAGGCATTACGCCCGCAGGCTCTGGGCGGACATGTGTATACATACCATCACTATCATAAGCAATTTAGTCATTTGTATAAGTGCAGATCCTACTACCATGACTGCAGAGGAAGAGGAGGTGATGGCATGCTTGCATGCTTGCTTGTTCGTACATGCATCCGCTTGGTAAGGTACATATTTGCCACTTATTCTCCATCACCAAAAGAGAACGTTCCATTACACAAGCGGAACAAACTGGAAAACTGCCGTTTTGTATATGTAGCTTACTATCTGTACGTTGAACGAGTTAAAGGCCAACTCGATCTAGATTGCGCTAATATGGGAAGGTGGGCTGAAGATCGCTCCTTCTTTTTACTAATGTAACCACGGCATTCTGGAGCACATGAGCTTAATTTTGAGAGTTCATATGTTCTTTTTCTTTCTATCCTCAACATAAGAATTCCTTCCAAACAACCTTTGAAGCTTGATATGTAGAGATCAGTATATTCTTCACACTGTTTTTTGTGGACAGATTTGAATTTAAAAGGTTCATGCTTTCGCCGCGCATTAACAAGTTCCAAATGTAGGAAGTGCGCACGACACATACCCCATTTTATGAATTAATCACTTCTCTTTCCAATAAGTCAATAACACATACCCCTTTGAATAAATACAGTATGTTGTCCTAGTAGTAGCATATCTTCGTAGTAGGGTGGACAAGTGCGCCGGTCAAATGTAAACATGATATGTATATGGTCAGGCTGTATTATTGTCAAGCTCACCATCCATAAAATTCCACTACCTTATATGCTTTCAAAAGCAAATCATCACACAATAGAAGGCGTCGAAAAGCAACAGTGAGGACATTCCCTCAGCGTCGGGAGGCGCGGCGGGGATTGCTATCTGGACGACGACAGAAAGAAGACCGAGATGGTGGTTTGTACAATCAAGATTACCTCATTTGGGAAAAGGGGGGTGAGTTGCTCCTTTTGGGTCCCCATACCTTCTTTTCATTTTTATACGAAAGTTCCAGAGAAGCTTAAATTTAACACTAAATTTCCTCACCGCAGGTGTTTCGTTCTCCTTAAGCAACAAAGGACGAGAAAGAATGTAACATATGCTTTTTTTACAGAGCACATCAGAAACTGAATGAGATAGAGCAGCGATAAACTAACGACCACCTGCGTGGTACTACGGATAAGAAAAAGATGCTGTCCGTTAGAGTGACCCTTGTGTAACATTTGCGTATTCTTAAAAATTCCCTTTTGTCAACTTCGTCTCGCGCGCACAGCTGCCGATCTGAGTAGCTAGGGAATATGCTTGAAATAGTCATGACAATACAAGTGGAAGCTAAAGATGCCAAGTAGTTAAGCTGCATGATGAGTCGTCGAATGTCGGAATCTTGTCAGCGGTGCATAGTTCGAGGGAAGATCTGTTGTTGTAGGTCGGGAAGCATCCCCAATTTAGTACATTAGATACAGCAAGAAAACGAATGCGCGCAGCAGTGGGATGCTTAAAATGTACGTAGTGCTAGCTAAACAAAACTAAAATGCGACGCCCATTTTTTGGATGCACATGTGCCAGGTTCATCTGAGAATCTTGATTTGTTTGTATCATAGTACTTAGTATTAGTAGAAAATTTGGTTGTTTTAGTGCACCAAACTAATATCAGAAATACTAACCGATCAGCTGCTCTTTTGCATTGCTATATGTGTGGGCGCTCTGGCTTCCTCAGTATATTAGCACTGTGCATGTATTATAATACACAATAAAGCGCTTTGGGCTTTGGAAGAAAAAGACAAAGAAATAATAGGGGGAGAGATTTTCTGCCCTTGATACTCATATAGCAGTTATTTGTGGCGATCATGAGCGGTCGTATCTTTTATTTTTTTTCGGTATAAACAAGTTCTAGCTGCTTCCAGTCTAACACATGATGAGTAATTAGAAGCAAAGCAAATGCAGTGTTATGGATTTTTAAAGGAACCCCACTTATGCTAAATGACGTGGTCAAAATGAGAGCACCGCTAGATGACAGCACTGTAGGAGAGAAAGGAAAGTGCTCTATAAGAATGAAGCTGACAAGTATACAGACCTAAACCCGTCGTTTCGATAGACAAGGTGCCAGCTACCCTACTTAACCCTGCTGCTTGTCCCACCTCCTTACTGGTGCATCCTATAGCGAGAGGAAGAATATTGTGCTCGCCCATTTATGTACACAGAAGGTTTAACTACGGCGCATTACAGTAAACATACTGCTCTTAACAGCGGGCAAGTTTCTCAAAACCACATTTGTTCACGTTTAAAACACTACGCTACCTCAAGAGATGGGATTGCATGATTGGTGGATGTTGGCTTGAGAAATAATTTTCGTTGAACAGTTTACGTGCATATACGTGGGCTGTTCGTATATACAAACATAATTACTACTGCTGGCCTCACAGTACCCAAGTCCGAACTTGCTCTCCTTTTAATTGTTAGAACGCTGTGACGACAACAAAAGCGACAAAGTGCAGAAGAGTGCGGGTATGCAGTGTCATTATCACTATGTCAAGCTCATTAGGGCTATTAACAACGGGCTGTCTATATCACCGTGTTTGATTATTTGCTATGGCGTCGCACCTGTCGTGGGATGCACATGCATACATGGGTACTACACCCCCCTAAGCAACGACAGGTGCGTATGCTTTTAACAAACATACACACACGACGTTAAGGTTGTTGCATTCTGGTTTGTGTAACGTCCGACATAAGCTTTATGGTTTGAATACCTCATATATTGTCGAGGACCTTTCTTTCTTCGTCAGTGGAAGCATTGCCGCGCATACGGTGCGTTCTACATATACCACCACTTTGCTGATAGAGCTATTCATCAGCTAGCAGCTCTCTTTGAGAAGAACTTGGCTATATTACGTGCATCAAATAAAAAAGTTGCTAAACAGAACTGCAAGTATATAAAAAAAACCACGGAGCCCGAATTGTTCAAGTCGGGAATCTGGAACGCGGATCCGTTTTGGAGAAGGGTACCCAGAGTCATGTTCCATGCATACCTAAAAAGGGATAAAGTCGAACGGACGTGAGCCGTCCAACTCAGGATGCTACAGTATTCATTGTGTTCTAGCGTTTTGCAGAAGGTCCGAGATGCTACCCCTGAGAAAGCGAAAAAGTGGGGGGGGAGGGGTAGAGGAGGCTATTCAGTGCAGACAAGGAAGAAAGAACGCACCTACTACTTGCCGTCATCATCTGCGCCCTTGCTCCTGTCAACCACAAAGCGATCTCAAACACCTCCTGAGAGACAAAGATTCGCGGATTGTTTTTATTTTTACTTTTTTCGTCGATGATGACCACGAACAGGACGAAATCTTCCAAGATACACTGAAAATTCATGAAGATCGATACGACAAATAACTTCTCGGAACAAGGAACACGGCAAAGGCGAAGCTCGATATATCCTATGTACTCGGCTTTTGGATACCCACTGTGCAACTTTACATGGCACGAATACAGCGCACAACGTGTACTTTATCGTCGCAAATATAAGGCTTACGCCTTCTTTTTTGCACCTCCCTTCATTTTTTTTTTCAGATTGTGCTGGCTTGCGTGGGGCTGTAAAACAAAGTGCTTACGCTGTGCAACGAGGAGTTTACCCACATAGGTGATGATCAGTCGCGCATGCCCCTCCTATTCTTCCGAACAACATTGTTGCTACGCTACTGTTGCAGCTGCTGTCGCGCAGACCGCTTAAATAGAGTGCTGTTCCAGACGTTTCTCAATCTTGTATCTGTTTGTTCGACACACTTACCTCTTCACTGTTTCTGCCTCTCTCTGTCTGTCTTTTTCTTCCTTTTTTCCCATGACTGTGAGTAAAACCTCATCAACCACTCCACAAGACCCTTTATATATGGCCGCTTCTGTCAATATCGAGCTGTCCAAGACCAGCAGCGTGCTCGACGCTTCAACGACACAAGATATGTTCTTCAATACTACCTTCACTACTGCTACTGATGGCACTGGTAGCAGCGCCAGTAGCACTCGCAAGATCTCCAAGAAACCGTACCAGTGCACGTTTTGTGACAAGTCTTTTGCAAAGCCTAGCGCCTTGCAGCCGCATATCTACACTCATACTGGAGAGAAGCCCTTCAAATGTCATATGTATGCGAAGACTTCGGTCGAGCTGTTTCGTTTTTGTTACAAACGTCAAAACTACAATACCAGCTGATGACACATCACTAAATACAAAGTTATTGGTTCTTTGATCACTGTTTCCTGCTCGCTTTCTCTTATCATCTATTAGACCAAATTGCAACAAACGATTCGCAGTGATTAGCAATTTACGGCGTCATTTCAAGGTCCATGATCTCAAAAAGGTCGTTGCGAAGAACCGGATGTCGCATAAGGAACGGATAATGCGCGTTCGACAGCTGGCAAACATGGCACAGCTCAATCATAGAAAAGACGACACAATGATGATGCCTTTCCTACACCCGTATCCTACACTCTTTGATATGCCTACTTCTTCCTCTACTTCCTCCGCCTCTTCCTCCTCTTCTTCTTCTACTACAACCACTATTGCTACTACAAGGCCAGCACCATCATTTCCAATGAACGATCCCCACACTGCAAATATTACGGCAACTTCATCATTACCCTGGAAACAACTGCTATGTGACGAAATCAATTATACTACTGATGCTCCGGAGCCTATCACTTACAACAGCCATGACATTGCCGCAGCCGCATCAGTTATAGACCCACAGTGCGGTGCAGACTTCTGTATCCAATCAACAGCTTTTGCATTCAGCGAATGTAACAACGTAACACCAGACTATCTTTTCTTTTGACACTCCTGTTGCTGCTTCAATAGCCAGCTCAATAAGCCCTATACCCCAATGGATTTGACCCTATTTCATTAAGACATACAATAAAAAAGAAAAATCGCTCTATTGCTGCTACAATGACTTGAAGTGATAATCACGCTGAATACTACATGCCACAACATAATGGGAGCAAAAAAACAGCAAAATAACTTTCATTACAATGCTACATCTAAGAAGCAAACCGCTCCTCCGCCGTTCCGACTATTCGCTGGTGTTTTTTTCTCACACAGAGTTTCGTCAGGTTTGCAAAACGCAATGCATTACGCAGCCTCATGGTGTTACGCCACTTTGACCTTCTCCGTTATATCTGAGAATAAGCAATGTTCTAGCGTCGTCTATTTTCCCCTTTTATCCAAATCTCGACCAGGCCCTTCCTTCACTCTGTCTCCCTCAAGATGTCGCATTCACCTCTTTAAGAAAGCGAAGCAGACGTGAGTTTATTATCAGTAGTAGTTGGTAATCTCATACATCGCAGGGCAACCAATTACGAGATACGCTACTATCACCATCGTATTAATAGTGGAGCAAGCCTTTATTTTATGTGAATATAGCTACATAGCCATATTTATTCGTTTAAAAGTTGGACCGTATTTTGCGTCTCAATTTGAACACAGCGTCCAGGGGAAGACATATTTGTTCAAGACAGGCCAAAGAAGAATTGGGAGATGAATGCCCTGTGAATGAGACATGGAAAAGATCATATGGGGAAGTGGAAGGGGAGCATGCTGTAGGAGTAAGCATACAAGTACAACATAAGATAGATTTATATGGTCTGGGGGAATGAGGGGGGATAAACATGTAAATAAAAAAAATAATAGCCTTGGAGTGGGAGAATCATGATGGCGGGGGGATACGTTTTTTACTTTGCACTGAATAAATATTCGACACGGCGCATGATGGGTTATAAGATGGCAACTTATTTTTTCAATATAACGTGAAGGTGTTATTATCATGGCAATTGATGTATGAAGACACGACGGCTTGCTATTGTATTTTTGAGTCTTTGTTGGATAAATATGAGTGGGTTCCAAGTAATGCCAAACATTTCAAAGTCAAGCACAGAGCGCTAACAACGACCGGATATAAAAGAAAGTAAACATTTATTCTGATTCAAGTACACTTCAATTACTTTACGATCTACACTGTCTACACTCTTTAGCTAACCACACAAGATAAAACTGCAATGGAAGACGTGCTATATGACCAAGAACTTTCATTTGCAATTGGATCTGACAATGATAATGCCCAAGCAGAGCGGTTTCGTTATTCATCAAGAAAAATTACGTCAGAGAGGTTTTCAATTACAGAGAACTTTATTTGGGCAGATCTATTTGCTCGTGCACCCCCCCCCAGTCTCTGCCCGGCCCGGACTTTTAGTTTGCACCCCCCCACCTCTCGCCGAACCATTTCGTACAGCCCCCTTCATCGAACCAATTCTTGCACACCACTTCATCCACATTCCTCAATCACACATCGAATTGAAGCAATATTTAACACAAGATTGAAGAACGAAGCATTAGCATCGTACCAAGTAACATAAAATGAGTAGGTATAAACTAAATGTATGCATTTGCCTTTTCAACGTAAATTGTCAGAAAGGAGAGACACACGCGCACAATGAAATATAGCACCGGCAACTGCTACTTGCTTGTATAAAGAAAAGTGTCCTAGATGCATGGACAGAATATGCGAGTAGTATGCTGGTGATGACACTGAAAAATGATGTAGAAAAGAAAGGGAGGCCAAGAGGATTATTAAACAAACAAAAGAAAATAAACTTTTTGATTTGACACGTCTTACATAATGCATATGAAACTGAGTCTGCATTAATGCAAAATCCTTTACATACATAGTCCGCATATACATAGTCCATAGACACATTGACCTCTACATCATCGTGTCGTTCGCATCATGTTTGGTACTACATAGTACTCAGGAAGTGACAATGGAAATTGGAGCGTATCTTAAAAATTGCTTCTTTTACTTCCCATAAACAAACAAGCATACTTCTCTAAATCTCTCAACTCATTTCTATCGCAATGTCAAAAACTACAAGTGCAATTCCTGAAGAACTTCGAGCCACTTATGACGACTTTGACTCTGCCAAGCAAGCTTGCGTCGACAGGGGGAAAAAGAGCAAGGTTTCCCTGCGTACCTTGAAAAGTACGTGTACAGGAGTAAAAAGAGTCCTCCGTCTTGTTTGCAAGCACTTTGGACAACCTACCAATCAAGAGGTATATGACGATGGCAAAAATACGACAGTAGATTGGCGAACGACAAAGGTGATGTCATTCGATCCAACAGCAAGGACAGCAAGAAACGGCGCGAGAGAGACTCCCAGCGAATTGGATGCGAGTTTGAGATCAAGCTGCGGCCATTGAGCAAGGTTAGCCAGCAATGGCACGTTGTCTCTTCTTACGACGGTGAACACAATCATGAGATTGCAAAGAAGCTCTCATCGTATCCAATGCTTCGTCAGCTCGATGGGAAGCAGCACGAAATTGTTCTTAGCATGATCAAAGGGCACGCCAGTAATACTGAAATTGTGTCATACCTTGCTGCTAACAAAACGGTTGTCAGCCCCAAGGACATCACGAATATGCGACAGATGGTATTCAACAACGATCCCAACCATACCATGTTCAAGCTTATCAGCAAGTTACAGGACAAGGATTACGTCGTTGAATGGGAATCGAAGCAAGATGGCGAAAAACGGTTCTTGCACTCTCTTTTCTTTGCTCATCATTCTGCAATTTCACTTGCTCGCCAATTCCCCGAAACCATCATCATGGATGCCACGTACAAGACAAACAGACATCGGCTCCCCTTTGTAAATGTCGTCGGTACAGGCAATGTTGGTTATCCAGACTTGAAAACGTTCTGTATTGCTGGTGGATGGGTGACTGAAGAAACGAATGACAGCTACGACTGGTTTGTCAAAAAGCTTGAGCAAGTTGTTTGGCCAGCTGAGCAGCCAGTCTCCCCGAAAGTCTTTGTAACTGACAGCGAGTCCGCGTTGATGAAAGCCTTGGATCACGGATTCCCCAACTCGAAGAAATTGCTCTGTACCAACCACATCAAACGCAATTTTCAAGTCAAGCTGCAGAAACTTTTTGAAGTTAGAGGACTTTGAGGCGCTCCTGAAAGCCATCAACTACTTGATGGCTGATGAATATGATTATAAAATTATAGAACAAGCGGATGGTTCCAAATGAGGATTTCGAGCAACAGGCGATCGGCATGTACAATGAGGCTGCAATGAAAGCCAAAAAGCCGGAAGAAGTGAAAGCATATCTCGAGAGGTAACTATATATTGGATTTTTAACGGAGATCGTTTGCTTGGACACTATACTTATGTGTAATACTTTCGCTTGCAGTAAAGAAATATGGGTCGGACGGTACCTCGCAGATGTCAAGCATCTTGGGAATAGTACCACCAACAGAGTTGAAGGAACGCACGCCGATACGAAGAAGGCCATACAGTCCGCCAGTGGTAACCTATACCTTGCTTTTGAGCAAATCGATGAATTCTACAGATTAAAGGTACAATATATTCGTATATATTATATAAATATGGTAGTTTTATATTTACCTACAATCCTATTCTACGCACATTAATTGCTAATCGTATTCGCTGTGTGTTGATTTGCCTGTGCAGAATCTAAGTTGGGATCGTCAATTGGATAGCGAACATTTCGGTGTAAACTCGCATATCCCGCCAAGTCAAAAGGAAAGGCTGGTAGATTTACAGCGCCACATATCGAAGTGCGCATTCAATGCAATTCGCAAGGAGCTTGTATATCCAAATCCGCTAAGAACTGACAACTGTCAATGTGCAATCAAAGCTCATTACGGAATTCCATGCTGTCACATGATACCATCTAAAGGAAAAATTCCTTTGAGCATTATCCTTAGACGCTGGCATCTCCATCCTGAAAAAACAGCTCCTGAAGGTATAGATAGCTTAGTATCACTCTTACTCACTATACTAAACTGTAGTATCTTTATGTAGAGGAAGAAACAATCCACAGTAGCAGCAACATCCTAGCAATTTCGGAATCATATTCTGCTTCCACCATGGAGAGTCAAATCGAGGCTGAGCTCACGCGTATCACCACTATGTTGCATCGATTGCCTGACCAAAAGCAACGCTCAACTCTTCTACGTCATTTGCAAGCCATCAGCGATGATCTTTTCATGGATATCAAGCAACTGGAGCAGCCAAAATCTCTACCAACGAAAGGCAAACCTAAGCGCAACTCAAAGCGCGATCTTATCGCTTTGGAACACCAACAGAACGAAAGCAACAAGAAAGCCAAAACAAACGTGGGACGCGAAGCAGCCGATATTTGGTAAGTAATAGTTTAATAATTGCTGTAATTGATCTTCTATAACTATAACATATATGATACTGTACTGACTAGGTTTGTACTAAGGGAGGGCAAGCATAAAGCTAAAGCTGACATCACTACCATACCGCCAACGCCACCACAGCAACAACAACAACAACAACAACAACTTACAATGTCACCTTTTTGGTCATCCTTTTTGCCCGCTTCTTTACCATCACCTTTTACGTCCGCTGATCCACCTATTGTACCAAACCTGGACATGGTCTGCGATGCAATTCCACGCTCTGCTGTGAACTTAGTAGTGCACAATGCGATTCCAGATGGAAATTGTGGTTTCCGGTCGTTGGCTGTTGCTTTACTTGGAGATGAAAAACGATATATTGATATCAAGGCCGGAATGCGCGAGTTCTTTATCAAAAATTGCGGAAAAAGTATTTATGAGAGTTTCGACGCTGAAAGAATGCTAAGTGTTCTTTATCCAAATGCGCATCATTAGTTTTACTATCCAGAGTGTGCTCAGCTTGCCTCGGATGCGTTCAACACGTCTATAGCATTCTTTGGCACTGAATCCTCGTTATTTTGCCCATTACTAAGCACCCCATCCCAAGCGATACGTACAACTCCAATCGTCATGCAGCTCATTCGCAACCATATAATTTTCATCCAGCTCAGGCCGGGTGCATTGATTGAATGGCCTGCCTGCTACCCTTATGCTCGAGGTAAAGGCCACAAAGATGGTGGTGCCAGAATCCGAGGTGATCAATGGTATCTTCCAAGACGCATTTGAAAGCATGATCCATGTGGATATTTCCCTTCTAGAAAATTTGGATGCTCATTCTCTTTCATCTGGATCTGAAGCAAAACACTCTGATTCTGAGCCAGTTGACCTAACAGGACCATATCAACCTTAGTAGCACAATGTCTCTTCTTGCCCGCTCTTTCTTTTCTCTCTCTTTTTTTCCTTTACTTTTCTTTCCCTCCCTTTTCTTAATATTCATATGATTAATCCGATATATACATGTTTAAACCAATGGATACATTGACCAGAAATTGGTGAGCCCATGAGGCTGCAAAGTACTAGGCCATTCAATTATATGGATAGTCTGATGATACCACTTTCTTTTACAATCCCTTTTTTATCAGCACGAGCAGTAGACTGCCAACATGTGTGTATGCAGAAGAAGGAGCAACCCCTTGAGCATTCTACTGGACTCTTTAGTTCCTCAAAATTTGTCGGACCATCCATATGGTGTCTGTTCAATGTTGAAGTTCATCTTGCCGTCTAGGTAATAGCTAAGGGAAAAACAGAGATACACTCGCATAGTTCGCCAAATGTACAGTATTTAGTGTGTTCACAATGTTTCGAGTGTAATGACATTTAATACCAGTATGCACCATAATTTTTTAGCAATAGTAATGTGTTGTAACAAATAAGTATGTGTGATATGATATATATGTGCGGGTGTGAACACTTTATTTCTCGCGGGATGCGTACGAACCAAGAAATGTTTAAAGAATGTTTGAGAGAAGGAACCGTTAAGTATTGTGTCGTGTATGTTGGTTTGTCCCACAGAATGTAGTTGGTATAGTGTGTCTACATTGATCTTGAATATTCTCTGACAAATAGTCACCAACAGTGTTATTTTGAGCTGCTGCACGAAAAACATCGAATTGTGTAGTCGATACAACTTGTTGATATTCATCTGCAGCATCGCGAAACGACTCTAGGTTTGCATGTAGTTGTTTAATCAATGCACGTTGCTCTGATCGATACGCCTGCATGTGAAGCTCCCAGCACAATGGTCCTCTTTCTGATCGACAACAAATACGTCATCGTTACTGGTTAGGTCGATCAATGTTGGAGTCGTTGGATGGCTAGTTGCAGTAGAAGCAGTGATGGCGGTAGTAGGAAGGGGGGAAGGAGAAGGAGAGAAGCGGCGATGAATGGCGTTAGTAGTAGCAATAAGAGGTGCGATATCCCAATTGCCATCATCAATATGTCTAACTTCATCATCATCATCGTTGTGTTCGTCGTCGTCCTCATCGTCATTGGCATCGCCACTAGGATGTGTAGTGTCTATAAAAATGTTTCGGAGAACATTTTCACTGATTTATTATACAACGGCACATATTTAATCCTAGGGCGAAATCATAGACATAGTAGTTGCATTTATCAATCTTACTTACTGGTCGTATACGCACAAAAGGAGCAATGCTTTGGCGTTGGATAAAATGTTGCTTAGCAACGATGCGACCAGAACCAGAACGACGAGCAAGGTGTTTACAGATCATAAATCGACTTCGCAAAAAAGCCGGACAACTGCAGGTCCATCTTTCAACTGATGGTTGATACTGGGTGACTGCAACCGGGCTTTCTGCCAACAGGACATCCTTGTTCCATTGACCGACGAACATTATTTCCATCGTTTGTTACAACGAGACCGAACAATATCACGCCGAAATTTATGCCGTAACTCGCGACAATGACGCGTAATGATAACATACACCAATAGTCCAAACGTGCACAGTTAAACTGGTATAAGTGAGTGCGCTTCGATCAGCATTGTTGTTCTCCTATCTGGAATGCGATCAGGGATGCTGGTACGCGCCCATAGCTTCCATGCTGCTGGCTTGTACCATCGCTCGTACAAATAAATCCAGGCGTCGATATACCCTTTTGCATAGCAGAACAAAAGGATCTCGATTACGGCAAATTAGTGAATTTCTTCAGCACTACGTGTTGTAGTACCTATTTAGAGTATTCTCGCATTGGCATACTCTTTGAGTATTTGAACATATAAAATATAGCATAGCAATTCACATTTAAGTTATTGCTGTAAATACAAGTAATTTTACCATCAGGAATTAAAGGGTGCTGATTGTAGTGCTTTGTCATTAATTCAATGATATGTTTGCAGTCTGCTTTTTGACAAATTACGCCACTACGTCCACTAGTAGTCGGCGTCCAGTCTGGATTAACAGAAGGAAAATCGCGATGCGCTTGTGCACTATCATACAGTGGTGGATGGGCGCTTCTCTGCTTGGACAGCTTGCGCTCAACCGATTTTGGCATGTGCCAAAGACAAAGACGTAATCGCGATTCGCCCCACACATGTTGGATGGCATTCATCTGCCATTGGTTCTTGTCCGAGAACATAAACAGAGAATCGAAATAATCATCCTTTAGCACCTCAAAAAACTTGATAAGGGTATCTGTTTTTGTATTGGGGACAGCTTCATCAGATGCCAGATATAAAAGGTATCTAATCGGAAATCCCACACCATTCACGTTTGCAATAATTCCATATAATTCAGAGCCGACACGACTGGTTTTGTATGTGGAATCAATGCAGTACTCTTCCACATGATCACTTGCCACGAGCAGAGGGAAAAAGGGGGTGACGAAACCATAAGCAACAACAATGTCTCTTTCACGTTTCCAGAAAACCTAAGTTTTATTGTAACTGCATAAGATTTTAACTAGAGTCTACTACTAATCTAATTCTATCTTTTTTAAAGCGAGAAGACTAGATTCATCGTTAGCAATCATATTGTATATACCTCTCGGAAACCTTGATCATTGTATCTACGAACAAGCATGCGCGTCGAGATCATCTGATCTTCATGCAAGCGATACTCGTGTTTGAAAGTCTCGCTCCACCAGTAATACACCTGTTCAGGCGTGATATCTGAGAGTGAAAACTCCTGGACCACTTCATGATACAGGATGGTCGGGCTGATCGTCGTGGACTGCCGAGTTCTTCTTGCAATATACTCGCGTATATCGTCTGGAACCAGGTTTCTTTCCACAGGTTCAATTCCAATACGTGCATGCTGGCGATGGGTTATAAACAGCTCCACGTAACCGAGATCTTCTCTGACCTTTCCTTGTATATGGTCACTACAATCGTATGTTTCCATACGATCTGTCATCTGCCTACGTTGGGCATTTTCAATCTGGTTTTGATACCTTCTCGAACGCGAGCAATACGCGGTAAAAGGTATATCAGACGAAAGCTGAGGATCACCAGTATTCTTCCTGATGTATCGGAATCCATCACAGCGCCAGACACCTTCAATAACAGCGTCGATTATCACATCCTCGCCTCTCATATAGGGTTCGATGCAGATATAGCCCATAAATCGATAGTGCTGCATAGTAAACAGATAAATATGGACAAACGAATGAATATCAAGTTAACTAACTATTTTTTTATAGCATATCAAACATACTGTTCTCCCGTTATCCTCAACAAAAGGGTACTGATCGGCCAAAAAATCCAAAAAAAAAACCATTCGATCAAGAGGAATGTAATCTTGGGGAGTTGCGTGTTCACGACAGTCGAGACAAATTTTGAACGTCCCAATGCGACCAACAAAAGAAATACAGTGGCCACTCGTTATAGTGATATTCGGTATAGTAATATTTCGATATAGTGATGAGTTTTTAGGGTCCGAATCAAATTATGCAGGGAATTATTACTAATTTGCTATTGTGATATGTGATATCAACCATCAGAAATATCATTATATCGAGCGGACCAATAGTACATTTTTATTTATTAGAAAAGGAAAAAAAGATCAGTTTACTTTGCACTGGTTAATTCTCAGAGTCTAGTATGCCTGATTAGCTGAGCATCCAGGTCGTCTTCAGCTGATATTGTTCTCAATAAATCGCTTGTATACTGCTCTTCTCTCTTTTACTGTGCAGTGGTTTCAATGCTTCCTTCTCCTCATCTCGTCTTCTCTAGTTATTCTCTTCTTCATCAACATCTACCTACCTGTACCTCATGAGTATTAAAAATCCTAGCATCAAGCTCATTAGATAGAAGCCTTTCAGCTTCTTCTCCAGCCTCTCTACAGTGCCCGCGCGCTATAACGATACACCCCGTGGACCGAAAAACCTATCGTTATATCAAAATGTCGGTATATCGAATTGGCTCTCAGGGCAGATGAGTTCGGAATAAAGCTTCTCCATAGTCTACTCAGATATCCTCCGCAAAAAAAGAAGCAAAAAGAATGTGCTGGAAACATAATTAAACTAGCGTCCATCATTAGCTTAGTAATAATCAATGAAGAGAGAGGAAAACATCACTTCTTTATCCACAAAATGTCTTCTCGTCTTATTACTGCTGACAGAATCGCAGCTGGCTCCTCTCGCATTATCAATGCAGACAGCCCTAACGAACCGAAAAAACAACGCCAAACGCTTACTAAGCGCCAAAAGCTTGCAATTGTGTACAAGCATAAGCAGAGCGGCTGGACCCAAGGCAGACTTGCAGAATGGGCAAAGGAAAAGTATGCACTGAGTACTTGTCACAAGCAAAGCACCATATCGGACATTCTCAAGAATGCCGATAAATTTATGGCAATGACTGATGACGAACTCGATGGCAAGAGAAGCAGACCTTGTGCGCAACCGGATTTAGAAAGGGCGCTTTCACGTTACGTCGACGAAATGGAAAGCCTATCATAGGCCAACCACTCAACCGAGAAGCCATCAGAATTCAAGCTGAGGCAATTGCCAAGGTCATGAAAATCACTGATTTGAAGTTCTCTGATGGCTGGATTACGAACTTTGAGAGACGCTTTGGATACAAATCGAGATTCATGCATGGTGAAGCAGGATCTGCTACGACTGCTATTGCTACCGAAACAGCACAAGAACGCGTTGCCCAGATCAAAGAGAAGATCAAAGAGTACGGGCTCTCGAACGTATATAACTTCGATGAAGCTAGCCTTTTCTATGCCCAGGTCCCTCGCAGAACGATTTCGAAAGCACCTCTTTCTGGTCTAAAAGATGACAAGACCCGGATTAGATTGGTTTGGCCTGCAATGCTGATGGATCGCATAAGCATTAGCTGTTTTTTATTGGCCATGCTGAAAAACCGAAGTGTTTCGACAAGAAGTCAGGTAAAGCATCGATTCAAAACCAGAATTTATCAATACTAAAGTATATCTTGTAGGGGCAGAGCATGGCCACTTCCATTGGAGCAACCGTAAGGCTTGGATGACAGCAGATATTTTTGCCTTGGTGATGCGTAGGCTTGACATTACAATGGGGAATATGCATAAAAAAATTTTACTCCTTATTGATAATGCGCCTTCGCATAAGGTTCCAACATTTGAGAACATTGAAGTTCTCACGCTGCCCCCAAACACCACATCAATGTTTCAACCATTAGATGCTGGAATAATTGCGAGCTTTAAGAAGCAATACTGGTAGGCTATAAATACATAATTAGCTAATGATTGTATATCATACTCCATGTAGCATTATCAATAACACTACGTACTACGGCTGTTTTATAGTGCCTCCCACTATCGTGAAGCTGGTCGCAAGTATAGAAACCATTAGCTGGGCGAGCTCTATGATGTGGACCAGCTAAAAGCAATGAATTGGGCAGGGACGCTTGGGGCATGGTCTCTGTAGAAACAATCCAAAACTGCTGGAGGCATACAGGATTGATCAACATCGAAACCAATGAAGAGGTTGTGACAAGATAGGCAGCTGAAGAAGCCGACATTTTTTTGTACGATGAGCTCGATGAACTTATTTTTGATGTTCATCATGACTCTTGTGGGGTGGATCAGATTGACCTGATTCCAGACGAAGAAGGCGATTACATTCATGAAGCATCTTCTCTGGAAGAGCTTGTGAATGATACATTGATTGAAGGAGAGTTGGGTATGTGGTTTATTTTTTTGTACTAAAATTAAAGTTATGTATGATAGGTTACTTGTTCCTGATATGTAAAGGTAGGTGAAGATCCTGAAGAAGAGAAGCAGAGAAAAGGACATGAAGAACAAGAGCAACATCATTCTTTGTTCTCTATAAAAGAGTGTAAGCGTCATCTCGTCGACTTTTTGAAAGATATGGTAGTTGACGACGAAGACGATGCAAGAATTATTTTTCATATAAGAAGAAAGTTGAGAATGCTGGCTGCTGCAGAGCTAAAAACTGCCCAACAAACAGATACTTTATCTTATTTTGGAAAATAAAGTGCATTATTTACTGCTCGATAAACCGATATTTTGGAAAATCGTATCATTCGTTGTTATGTAAAATTACTGATATTTTACTAAGTAATCGGCCTTGCACCTGAGAATCCTATCGGTATATCGAATTATCATTATATCAAATATCGTTGTAGCGCGCGGGCACTGTATTATTCTTCTCCTACAGTAAAGTCTTTTAGGAGTTGTGTACTATCAATTTTGACAGGACGGGATTCTAGAGCTTTTATTGTAGAGCTCGCCAAATACTCCAGGTAATCTATGTACTAGATATCATTGACAGAACCACAATTCGATAAAGTAATATTTCGATATAGTGATGGATTTGGGTCTCACTGGGCATATCACTATCACGAGTAGCCACTGTACCAGGTCTCGTCTTCCGGCAATTAGTGCATTTGTACTCTCTATGCTCAGTAAGAACACTGGCATCAATGGCATTACGAACTGTCACGATCTCGGGCGAAGCAACAGTGCCATTAGTGAAGGCATTGGTAGAAGTAGTAGTAGTGGCTTGAGTAGTATCCATGGTAGAAATAAAACTAAACATTAAATATAGATTTATTGGTATATTTAAAAAGGAATAAGTTATTGTTGTTGAGAACACATAATGAGCTTGTCCACCTCATACAACTCATTATCTTTTAATTTCATTATTTAGCCCCCAACATTTCCCAAGCAAGTTGTTTAATCACCCCTAATTCCTTTTTATGTCTTTTTCTAATCTATAAATTTTTATTTATTTTATATTATAACTTTTTTTATTTGTTATCTATTTTTTAATCTATAAAAAATTGTCATTAAAACAAAAAATATTTATAATAAAAATTATATCGGATTATTGAATTTATTTAAAATAAAACATAAAATATATAAATAATATTCTTAAAATCTATATTCAACATTATCATTTATGATACTATAGTACTATATTCTGTTACTAATGATTATTCTCCAATGAAAGAAGCTTCAGTATAGAAAAAGAAGCAAAAAAGGCGAACCTGTTTTTCTAGGGCAGTAAAAATCAAAACTTAAAACTCTATATCTTATATATCATCCTTTCTTTCCTAAAACTAGCGATGAAAACATGGAAAAATGGTTACTCTTAGTATACATTGCCTATATGGAAAGCCTTAAAAAAGATGGTGAGTATTGATATATAAAACTTCTATATGAAAGACCTCAACAATAGCGAGTATCTATATATGGATCGTCTATATGGAAAGACCTCAAAAAATGACGAGTATTGATATATGAATCATCTATGATATATATATGAAAAGCTACAAAAATATAGTGCCTGACGGTATATGTGTCGTTGGTATAGTGTATCTTATTTATAATTGCTAAAAAGTGAACTCTAATCAAAGATCAGTAAGTTAATGCTTTGCATATTTGTTATTTGAATATCATTCTTTAGTATCTTTAATGTAGTTATTGAACTCGGGTTAACTTATTTTGTTTGTAAAAAAAGTTATCAGCTATCAAAGTTGGCTGATTTTGCTGGTTTTTAGCTGAGGTGGTATAAATTTGAAACACTGAACTTTATGCCGGATTTGAAGCTAGGATCGTTCTCACCCAATAGAATTGCGTGCCGTATTTAATGTCTTTGCTAGTAAAGGTCAATAATACACAGGTAATTTTCTGTGACCAGCCCATGACTCTGCCAGAAAATTTGGCTGTGCATTTTGTGACCTAAGTGACCAGTAAAGCAGATAGTGTACATTGAGGAGATATACAGCTGCAATATGTCTGGAGAAGAAACGGATAAAGAGGTCCAAAAAATGAAGTCACATAGGCGTAGCAATATAAAGATGGGCTTTTAAAACATCAAAAAATTGAAACATTAGCAATTATAAACGGGATGCACTATAAAACTATTTGTCCAAGCCAAAAATAAATATGGGTTTTTCTTATCGGCAAGACTATTGGCCGGATTTGGGAAATTTCAGCAGCTCCTGGGATTCCTAGTAAATAGATCCTTGCTATCTTGAAGTGATCATGTAGTTATTTGGTCACTTGGAGGAATAATCTTTAACTATAGATGAATCTTTTATATATTAGATAATATAAACTATATAGTATAAATTTTTTATGTAAACTGATATATCGTTTAATTGAAATATCTTTATTTGATAATATTTAAATTAAAATTAAAAAAAATGATTTTTCTTATATTTTATATTTAATTGAAAAAAATAAATAAAATTATTAAAATATTTATATTTCAAATAATTTATTATTTTTTGATTTTAACTTTTTAAAATTTTAAGGATTAAAAAAGATGAAATATATAAATATTTAATCTTTTGATTAATAATTGCTTTGAAGATTATAGTACCCGCTCGTTGAACCAATCACCTTTAAACCAATATTTCGTTAAACCGATCACTTCCCCAAAATACCAGCTCAGTAAGCAGTAAAATATCAGATGTTCGCTAAACCAACCACTGATCACTTGTCCCACGATTGATCGGTTTTTTGGTTAAGCTACTAAGCTTAATAGCTTGATTGGCGAAATCGGTGATATGAGATTACATTAATTTCGAAGACCTGGTTCTTCTCTTCACAGATGTTTAGAGTCTCAATGGCTCAACAGTAATAGGAAGAGCGTCTACCAATTACTGGTATATTCATATCATCTTCACTATCGCCTATTGGATGTCTTCCTGTTCTTCTTCTTCTTCTTCTTCCCTCTCAACAACTCGAATCCCAACCTGAAATGTATATAAACATTACATGTAATAGTGTAACATCATAAGATGATCCTTCCAGCAAGTTCTATAACTCACATGGTAGACCCTCAATCTTTAAACTGATCATTCATTAACCCAATCATTTTCTCGAAAAACAGAGGTGATCAGTTTAATGAGCAGGTACTGTATTGAAGCAATATAAAGATGTTAGATTTTTAAGCAGCACTGTTTATAAGTTTATGAGGAGTGAATGTAATCTTTAATTCTGTGGAAAGAAAAAGTTCAGCCAAGATTGAGGAGCAGTACTGTACAATTGGTTTGTAAGTGGGAAAACACAGACATGAACTTCCTCACAAATTGCATGTTTCTAAGACGAGTCTGCTTTGATATTAAAATGAAATGCTCAAGAGGCTGGTCCAGAAAAGATCGTGCTACAGTAAACCCCTGTTAAATACAACCAAAGATTTTTCTAGAAAAAGTTGTAATTAGCGAAGGTTGCATTTATCGAAATGGATCAACGTTTAGGCTGTGGTCCCGGACCATTCACCGAAAAGTTTTACCTCGAAAAAAAAAAGAACTTATTATCACTTCCTTCAGTTTCTTGATCGTGCTCTTCTTTCACGTTATTATCATGCCTGAAACACGTCGAGAGCGTCGTAGAAAGAACGTATCATTCACCAATTATCAACGTCAGGAGCTGTTCAAGCATTACAAAGAAAAAAACAAAGTGAACAAGTTTACCTATTCAATGTTAATTTCCTAGGCAACTACAAGGTTCAAACTCGAAAACTCTCTGGACAAGTCAACTATTTCAAGGCTTATTGCGTGCATGGAAAAGGAAGAGGAAGAAGGTGTAATTCGTATCGAAACCGGAAGAAGGCTTCAAAAGGCCAGATTTCCCGTATGTTTCGATATAATAATAAGTGCAATAATCAATTTAGACAGTATAATATTGATGAGCTCAAAACACATGGCTACAACGTATATAGGAAGTCGAGGATGCTGTAATGTTGTGGATAAACGTCGCCGAAAACAATCATATCCCGGTCACTTGGAGCATAGTTCATACTAAGGCGGTTAACTTTGCAGAATGCTTAGGCAAGGATTTCAAAGGGTCGAACGGGTGGATGCACCGTTTTGCTCGACGTCATGGGCTGTGTAAACATACACTTCATGGTGAAGGCGAATTTGTTGAAGCGAATGCCATTCTCGAAAACAGGGACAAAATGCGCGACAAACTTTCTCAATATGATCGACGTGATATATGGAATATCGATGAAACAGCATTGTTCTTCACTGCCCAGCCTCGGACTACCATCACCCAAAAAGGGTTCTCTAGATTCAAGGAAAACAAAAAACGG